ATTTAAAATTGATTTTAAATAAATTTTTCCATGCTTTTGGAGCCAAAAATCAATTTAAAATTGATTTAAAATCAATTTTCCTATGCTTTTGGAGCCAAAAATCAATTTAAAATTGATTCTAAATCAATTTTTCCATGCTTTTGGCGCCAAAAATCAATTTAAAATTGGTTTAAAATTGGTTTAAAATCAATTTTTCCATGCTTTTGGAGCCAAAAATCAATTTAAAATTGATTTAAAATAATTTTTTCCTTGCTTTTGGAGCCAAAAATCAATTTAAAATTGATTTAAAATCAATTTTCCTATGCTTTTGGAGCCAAAAATCAATTTAAAATTGATTTAAAATAATTTTTTCCTTGCTTTTGGAGCCAAAAATCAATTTAAAATTGGTTTAAAATTGGTTTAAAATCAATTTTTCCATGCTTTTGGAGCCAAAAATCAATTTAAAATTGATTTAAAATAATTTTTTCCTTGCTTTTGGCGCCAAAAATCAATTTAAAATTGATTTTAAATCAAGTTTTCCATGCTTTTGGAGCCAAAAATCAATTTAAAATTGATTTAAAATTGATTTAAACTATTTTTTTCCTTGCTTTTGGCGCCAAAAATCAATTTAAAATTGATTTAAAATTGATTTTAAATCAAGTTTTCCATGCTTTTGGAGCCAAAAGTCAATTTAAAATTGATTTAAAATTGATTTAAACTATTTTTTTCCTTGCTTTTGGCGCCAAAAATCAATTTAAAATTGATTTAAAATTGATTTAAAATCAATTTTTCCATGCTTTTGGCGCCAAAAATCAATTTAAAATTAATTTAAAATCAATTTTTCCATGCTTTTGGCGCCAAAAATCAATTTAAAATTGATTTAAAATCAATTTTTCCATGCTTTTGGCGCCAAAAATAAATTTAAAATTGATTTAAAATTGGTTTAAAATCATTTTTCCTATGCTTTTGGCGCCAAAAATCGATTTAAAATTGATTCTAAATCAATTTTTCCATGCTTTTGGCGCCAAAAATCAATTTAACATTGATTTAAAATTGATCTAAAATCAATTTTTCCATGCTTTTGGCGCCAAAAATCGATTTAAAATTGATTTAAAATCAATTTTTCCAAGCTTTTGGAGCCAAAAATCAATTTAAAATTGATTTAAAACTAATTTTAAATCAATTTTTCCATGCTTTTGGCGCCAAAAATCAATTTAAAATTGATTTAAAATCAATTTTCCCATGCTTTTGGAGCCAAAATTCAATTTAAAATTGATTTAAAATCAATTTTTCCATGCTTTTGGCGCCAAAAATCAATTTAAAATTGATTTAAAACTAATTTTAAATCAATTTTTCCATGCTTTTGGCGCCAAAAATCAATTTAAAATTGATTTAAAATCAATTTTCCCATGCTTTTGGAGCCAAAATTCAATTTAAAATTGATTTAAAATCAATTTTTCCATGCTTTTGGCGCCAAAAATCAATTTAAAATTGATTTAAAACTAATTTTAAATCAATTTTTCCATGCTTTTGGCGCCAAAAATCAATTTAAAATTGATTTAAAATCAATTTTCCCATGCTTTTGGAGCCAAAATTCAATTTAAAATTGATTTAAAATCAATTTTTCCATGCTTTTGGCGCCAAAAATCAATTTAAAATTGATTTAAAACTAATTTTAAATCAATTTTTCCATGCTTTTGGCGCCAAAAATCAATTTAAAATTGATTTAAAATCAATTTTCCCATGCTTTTGGAGCCAAAATTCAATTTAAAATTGATTTAAAATCAATTTTTCCATGCTTTTGGCGCCAAAAATCAATTTAGAATTGATTTAAAATTGATTTTAAATCAATTTTTCCATGCTTTTGACGCCAAAAATCAATTTAAAATTGATTTTAAATCAATGGTTCCATGCTTTTGGCGCCAAAAATCAATTTTAAATTGATTTAAAATCAATTTTCCTATGCTTTTGGCGCCAAAAATCAATTTTAAATTGATTCTAAATCAATTTTTCCATGCTTTTGGAGCCAAAAATCAATTTAAAATTGATTTAAAATCAATTTTTCCATGCTTTTGGCGCCAAAAATCAATTTAAAATTGATTTTTCCATGCTTTTTGAGCCAAAAACCAATTTAAAATTGATTTCCATGCTTTTGAGGTCCAGCAGTGCACACTGAGGTAGAAAGGTCCCAGGTTGAAGTCCAGCGGTGCACACTGAGCTGGGCAGGTCCCAGGTTGAGGTCCACCAGTGCCCACTGAGCTGGGAAGGTCCCAGGTTGAGGTCCAGCGGTGCCCACTGAGCTGGGAAGGTCCCAGGTTGAGGTCCAGCGGTGCACACTGAGCTCGGACGTTGGCGAAGAGCTTGGCGAAGAGTTGGCAAGGCAACAGTGGACGTGGAAGTGGAGGCAGAGGTGGTGGAGGAGAGGCTGGCGGAGGAGGAGCAGGAGGAGCAGGAGGAGCAGGAGGAGGATAGCTAGCCGAGGAGGAGGAGGAAGAGAACAACTGTGATAAAATCTAACAACCCTCACCTGGCAGGTGGGGAAACAAGAAAATGCAGCCGCAAATCACAGATCAGCCCAAAATCAATTTGAAAATGCCAAGCATCCAAAAAACAATTCTTCAATCAATTCGGAAACAACTTTTGAAAAGACACCTGACATGTGCAGTCTAGCTTCCTGAAGTGTGTAATAAGAAACAATTTTTAAAAGCAATCGAGAACCAATGTAAAACCAATTTTAAATTATTTTAACCCACCATCAAGGATTACCACGTTCTAAAGTCTTAATTCTGCACCTTGCCAAAAGTGAGAAAACGTGAGGATTTTGTAGCAGTTTCAAAAACGATGGCAGGCGTGGGACATTTCAAGAGGTTCTACAAAGATGCATTTCGCGTGGCAGGCGCAGTACAAGAGACATGTTCATCAGAGATGTTAGGAGGTCAGGGCGGAGATTTCCTGAGAGGGGTTGCACTTTGGAGCATCAGATCTTAAGGTTTGCTAAGATTATTTTGCGTGACGGGTGCAGCACTTCGTATGACCTGGCCTCACCTTTTCGTGGCAGGCGCAATACTTTAGACAGATGGAATGCAAAAATCGCAAAACGCATTGGTACGAGGCGGTCAGCTCTGCACTTAACTCTCCATTTTTGAAGGACGTCTGGGGTGAACCATGGTGAACCCAGAGGAGGTTCAACAGCGGGGTTCCACTGGGGGTGTATGTGGTTACTGTAGTAATGTGTAGTACAGTCAGTTTCACTGTACATGTCATGTCTGAACAGTTCATTTCTGTGGCAAATTGCAGAGGTGATGTGAGGTTGGTGCTGCCAAATCCTTCAGGAAGTGGACTTACGAAATCAGTGCGGCTGTACCTCGCGAAGGATGGGCTCAAGAAGCGTCACTGAAGCCTTAGTCACCTATCTGTGTCACAAGCCTCAACCTGCGATTTTGATGCTGCCAATTTCAGAGATTGAGGAAGTCACGCAGAAGAGCTTCGTTTTCAAGCTTGCAAATAGACAGATAGATAGGAAGATAGATAGATAGACAGAAAGATGGCTAGATAGACAGAGACAGACAGATTGATAGACAAATAGACAAGCAGATACATAGACAGACAAATAGAGATATACAAACAAAGATAGACAACTGCAACTAAACTACACTAGAACTACGACTACAGCTACACTACAGCTACAGCTACAACTTCAACTACAATTACCGTTGCACAACACTATAGCAACAACTACAACAACAACAACAACAACTACTGCTGCTGCTGCTACTGCTACTGCTACTAGTACTACTAGTACTACTAGTACTACTAGTACTACTAGTACTACTAGTACTACTAGTACTACTAGTACTACTAGTACTACTAGTACTACTACCTCTACTTCTACTTCTACTACTACTACTACTACTACACTACTACGACTATCACCACTACTACCACTACTACCACCACTACCACTACTACCACTGCGACTACCACTACCCCTACCCTACAACTGCAACTGCAACTACAACTAAAACTTCCGCTACACTTCAACTACAACAACGACATTTCAACTACACTACAGCTACAACTCCAACAACTACTACAACTACTACAATCACTACTGCTACAACATTACAACTTCACCCACAGCTGCAGGATGTAGTGTGGTGTAGCGAAGTGCCATGTAATTGTAGTTGTAGTTGTAGTTGTAGTGTAGTTGATGCTGTTGAGGTGACCACTGCAACCACTCCAAAAATCACAAGCACCTTTCAGTCCATCAGTGGATTCGCCCTGCCATCCATGCATCACAACAACTCACCTCTCCTATAGTGTCCTATCCTTGAAACTTCCGCCACCGCCTTGTGCGGTACTACTGGTGGGAGCATATGACATGCTCCATTCTACACTAAACAAACACTAGCGAAACTAGTGGCTAGAGTTGCTAGAGTTGTTAGAGAGTGCTGGCATGACCCAAAGCATGCTCTAGCCGCAGTAGCGCCAATTGTGCCAGTAGTGCCAGTGATGACTCTATCAGTGTCCGTTGTCTGTCCGCTGCAATATGCTGCTGGAGCTGGAGCTGGAACTGTGGTCCCTTGTGACCAGCTGCAAGAAAAACAACACGGTGGAGACCAGCTGTTGGGGGACTCGGTGCAGAGTTATCGTCCGGAGAAGTCATTCCAAGCTATCCCGGGATGTTATAAGTGTGGGTCTTGTTGCGGGTAGTGATAACTCACAACGTGGGCGCCAACAACCCAAGGCCAAGGAATGACGATGTCAGGAATCACAAACAAAAAACGTTCATGGTAATGCTGCGGATGATGGCGTAATGACAGTGACAAATGGCTCCACAATCCATGTCGATATCCCCGAGAAAAAATCTGAAAAGCTAACTTGCAAAACCATAGAAAAACAACCCTCAACAGCCAACAAAGCACTCCCTGGCACACTGTTACTACGGTGGTAACACCCGGAGAACCCCGCTTTGCTCTTGACATCTCTTGACATTCTTGAACACTTTTGGCCCAGCAATCCTCAAGGTCCAGGAAGGTGTTGCGCACCACCAACCTGGTGGTTGGATCTGGCTCAGGCTGCCCCGAATGTTCTGCTCCGTCGGCTTGGTCGGTCTGTTCCTAGTCAGTGATGACATTCGGCATCGAGTGAAGTGAGGATCCACATGTCACAACAAGAGGGCCAAACTAGGCCATTTTGAACAGGCAAACATCGTTGGAGACAATCGCAAACAATCACCATAGAACAAACTATGTTAGAAACATTGTGGAAAGAATCTCAAAATTTTCTTCAAGCCTCCCCAAACAGTTCGACAACCGAACGTTGCTTAGACTGGCAGGACCGAAAAGTACAATATCTTGGCCTGTCAAGACCTGCACTTCTCACTTAGGCGAGTTCGTGCGTTTTCCACCCTTTCGGAGCTACTTTATCGTAAAGAACGGACAACCCCTTTGGTTCCTGTGGATTGAACTTTGCTTCTGCATCTTCGTGAATGCTTGGTGCGTAGGTGCCGCCGTTGGCGCGACGGTATGCAGCTTTGGCCAGGGGGACAACCTCCGCGAAACGGTTTCCTTAATCTGGATATGGAGAGATTGCCCCGAATGGTTTCAACTCTGGTACGGAAGGACCAGAACACTATCACTAATGAAGAAATGTTGGCTGCTACAAGTACAAGTGCATGATGAAAAGTGAGCCATGAAGGTCAAGGCGTGGGTCCGCTGCACTTTTGATTTCGTACGAGAACCTGTTTGTGTGATGCAGAGGCATTGAAACTCGGCTCAAAATCAAACAAAAAACAAATATGCATCAACAAATAATATTGAAAATGTCATAATTTTAAGATGATGTAATGCAAGGATCTCAAGAGCTCCCAGTCTGTTCGGCGGACAACGCACTGGTAAGAAACCAGCTCACGCCCGTCCAAGGTATCGAATGCCTCGATGTCCTAATTTGGAACAGCACGGTGGAGATGGAATCCAGGTGGATCTGGCAAAGTGTACAGGTAAAATATTGAATCTGGATGCAAACTCTGCCGGGTCATGTCACAAAAATCACAATTCTACAAACATCTAGAAACAGTACAGATGTGTGCCAAGAATGCCACATCATGATTGTCTTGAAGATTGTCTTGCTCATTCTTCCCAGTATGGCAAAGCTCAAAAGGGGCAAGAACAAGCCTTGCAGACTTTCAAACACCAACCTTGGAGGCAATTGCCCCAGTCCTCGCCGATTGCGTTGAGCAAAATCTTGAGATACTCGACCAAGTGAAATTTGCGCTTTCCTTGGGGGGTGCATGTGTGAATCACCATGCAAACACCCCGGAGATTGGTGCACTTTATCCGTCCTACCGTAAATGGACGAATTCAAACCTTTTCCATCGAGTACAACTCCCTCACCCCCAAAGTTTAATGTTAATTGGACCTGAGGTGCTTTAGCTCCAATGGACGAAATAATCAAACCCCCAAAGTCACTTTTGCCAACACGCGCATTGAAACATGGAGATTTGGTGGCCAGGGGTTCCACACAGAGCCTGTTGCAGGTTTGAATATGTTGTCCATCTACTAGTCTTCCTTCGAGGACTCCAGACGACAAGACGTGCGAATATTTGGCTGCTGGGTTGCGAGGGTTGTGCTCTTGCTGAGTCTGGTAGCGTCGCCAGTGTGGCAAACCCAGTCGCTCTCCAGCGTCAATGGTGACTAAAGGTTTTCTGCTGCACGGTATCATGGGCAAGCCACGCTTGAAGCTTTGAATGGATAGGACCACCTTGGAATCAAGCTGTACAAAGTCATTGCGCAATCATGCGCAGCCCTTCCACTTCCGGATTCAGTCTAAAGTGTGCAGGCGCAACTTTGGACCATAACAGACATTACGACAGCAGAGACTCTATAGCAAACGCAGGGGTGCTCTGTCTCCTCAGAAACTCAGGGATGAAACTTGGGTGTTTGTTACATCTTGTCACATGTTTAATCCCTGTGCAAAAAGCTAGACAGTGCTTTGGCACGATTGTTGCAGGCTAGCAGGCTAGCACGTAAAACATATTAAAACATGTTGGTTTATATAAATCCTTGAGCTCCCCGGTGCTCCTTTCGAGGCCGCCATATTCTATCTGCATGTGGTTTTTTTGATGTTTTTTGCACATAGAATATTCGACAATGGAGATAGCAAACATTACTTCTTGAAGTGTGGCATTTGCAATCATGGTCATGTGATTTTGGAAACACTACGTACTCAAGGGGGATAGGTTCTTTTAAGAAAACGCTGCATTCCTGCAACATTTTGTTCCCAAGCAATCCATGATACCAGAATGTTCGGGAATATGGCCATGGACTGCTTTCACGATCACTATGAACTATGTTAATTTGGAATATTCTAACTGTTATTTTTCCCGAATGCGTAGCAAGGGTTCCCGTTTCACTCTGGGGGTCTGGGGGTCTGGGGGTGTGTTCGCTCGACGTTGCCGAACCGTCCGCAACCGTCCGCCACCGTCCGCAACCGTCCGCCACCGTCCGCCACCGTCCGCAACCGACCGTCCGCAACCGTCCGCAACCGTCCGCAACCGTCCGCAACCGTTCGCGTGATGGCCGTATGGCCGTGCCTATGGTAAGTTCTGCAGAGGGGTCGTTGTTGGAGGTTTCACATGTCGCGTTGCTTCGTTTTGCGTGGCAGGCGTGGCACTTCGTGACATTCAGACGTGTTTTGTATAACGTGTCGAGATTCGTTTTGTGTGGCAGGCGCAATACTTTTGCGACGTTTTCAGAAGATGCGTTGCAGTTTTCGTGGCAGGCGCAGCACTTCGGACGTGTCCATCGTCATTTTGCGTGGCAGGCGCAGCACTTGAGACGTGTCGTGTTGCTTTTTTTTAGGCGAATTGCAGTGTCAGGGCTGTGTCAAGTGGCGACAAGGTCCAAATTCCATGGCAGGCGTGGCATTTTGTGAGATGTGATGAAAATTGACGGAAGCCTCGCACGAAACATCGATTTTTGAGGTAGCAAATTTCAGGTTCTAAGGAAAACTCGTAGGAAAACGCTGGTTTTCCTGTGGCCTCGCCGTGTCTATGGGGGAAGCTGCAAAACTTCTCCTTTTCAAAGGTTTCCAAGCAGGTTGTCATGCTGTTTTGCGTGGCAGGCGCGGCGCTTTGTGACATTCCAACCTGTTTGAAAATGTGTCGAAAGTTCTTTTGTGTGGCAGGCGCAGTACTTTTGCGTCATTTTCACAAAGACGAGTTGCAGTTTTCGTGGCAGGCGCAGCATGTTGGAGATCTCTGTCGTCATTTTGCGTGGCAGGCGCAGCACTTCAAACGTGTCGCACTGCGTGCTCTACACTCCGCACTCTACACTCCACTCCACCCTTTACACTTCACACTCCACACTTTCCACTCTACACTTTATACTCTACACTCCACACTCCACACTCCACACTCTACACTCCACACTCTACACTCCACACTCCACACTTCACATTACACACTCCACACTCTACACTTTACACTCCACACTCAACACTTTACACTCTACACTCCACACCTCACACTCCACACTCTACACTCCACACTGTACACTCCACACTCTACACTTTACACTCCACACTCTACACTCCACACTCTACACTCCACACTTCACACTACACACTCCACATTCTACACTTTACACTCCACACTCAACACTTGACACTCCACACCTCACACTCCACACTCTACACACGACACTCCCCACTTTACACTTTACACTGCGCACTTTACACTCCATACTTTACACTCCACACTTTACACTCTATACTTTACACTCCACACTCTACACTCCACACTTTACACTCTACACTTTACACTCCACACTCCACACTCGAAATATTACACTTCAGACTCCACACTCTACACTTTACACTCCTCACTCCGCACTCCGCACTCATCACTTCACACTCCACACTTTACACTGTACACTCCACACTTTACACTTCACACTCAGCACTTTACACTTTATACTCCGCACTTCACACTCCACACTCTACACTCTGCCCTGGACACTCCACACTCTACACTTTACACTCCGCACTTTACACTCCACACTTTACACTTTACACTCTACACTCCACACTCGACACTCTACACTCCACACTCCACACTCCGACTCCACCCTTTACACTTCACAATCCACACTTTACATTCCACACTTCAAACTCTACACTCCACACTCTACACTTTACACTCTACACTTTACACCCTACACTTTACACTCCACACCCAGCACTTTACAATTTACACTTTACACTTTACACTCCACACTCCACGCTTTACACTCCACACTTTACACTCCACACTCCGAACTCTACATTTTACACTTCACACTCCGCACTTTACACTCAATACTTTGCACTTTACACTCCTTACTCCACACTCCATACTTTTACACTTCACACTTCACACTCCACACTCTACACTCCACACTCTACACTTTACACTCTACACTTTACACTCCACACTTTACACTCCACACTCCACACTTCACACTACACACTCTACACTCCAAACTCCAGACTCTACACCTTACACTCCACACTTCTCATTTCACACTTCACACTTCACACTCCATACTCCACACTTGACACTTTACACTCCACACTTTACACTCCACACTTTTCACTCCACACTTTACACTCCACACTTTACACTCTACACTTTACACTCCACGTTTTACACTTGACACTCCACACTTTACACTCTATACTTTACACTCCAGACTCTACACTCCACACTCCACACTTAGCACGCCACCTTCTTCCATATTCCACAGCCTACGGTGCACTGGTATGGTAACAGGGGAAAAATGTACAAGATTGTTTAAATAAACTGATGCATAAAAGTGTTCTACGTAACTGCATATCCATGTGTTTCGACATCTGTACCATTAACATACGTGTGAGCATTCGGGTTCGTGGGCTGCATCTTGTTTTTAGAATATTCTAGTTAGTCTAAGTCGAGGTGCGTATTATTCTAACTGCATTAGTTTAATTCTGGATGATTCTATCTGCTAGCAGGTTATTATGCACATATATATATATATATATGCATGTATTTGACAATGTATGTATGTAATGTAATGTAATGTATTGTCGAAGGAAGTTTAGAAGTCAAACTTCCGACAATATGGACAGATGAAAAGCAGAGCAGGGCAGAGCAGAGAGAAGAGGAAGATTAGAAGAGAGAAGATCAGAAGAGAAAGAGTAAGAAGAAAGAAGATGCAGATGCGCGAAAAGGTAGGAAAGTCGCGAAACACTGTGTTTTTCCAATGATTTGTGGCTCCGGAGGGTCGAAAAGTAGGCTCGCTAAAGCGGCGGGTGCGGACCCAGCTGGCCACAGGAGCGATGAAAAATTGCACGCCGTTGTGGCGCGAAGCACATTTCCAAGTCAAAATGGACAAAACACCAGGGGTTCGGACCACTTTTGGAAGTTGCGATGTCGAAAAAGTGCACGCCGTTGTGGCGCGAAGCACATTTCCAAGTCAAAATGTACAAAGCACACCATGGTCGGAGCACTTTTGGAAGTTGAGATGTCAAAAAAGTGCACGCCGTTGTGGCGCGAAGCACATTTCCAAGTCAAAATGTACAAAACACCAGGGGTTCGGACCACTTTTGGAAGTTGCGATGTCGAAAAAGTGCACGCCGTTGTGGCGCGAAGCACATTTCCAAGTCAAAAGTGTTAAAAACTGACGGTCTCGGACCACTTTTGGAGGTTCAGATGTCGAAAAAGTGTCAAAAAAGTGGACGCCGTTGTGGCACGAAGCACATTTCGAAGTTAAAAGTGTAAAAAACTGAGGGTTTTGAGCCTTTTTTGACGTGAAGATGTCGAAAAGGTAGACACTGATTAACTTAACTAACTTGACCAACTTAACTAACTTCACTAACTTAACTACCCTAACCTCGACGACAACAGCAACAGCAACAGCAACAGCAACAGCAACAGCAACAGCAACAACAACAACAACAACAACAACAACAACAACAACAACAACAACAACAACAACAACAACAACATCACCAACCACAACAACAACACCAATCACAACAACTACAACTACAACAACAATAGATCGATAGATAGATAGATAGATAGATAGATAGATAGATAGATAGATAGATAGATCAATAGATAGATAGATAGGTAGATAGATAGATAGATAATTAGATGAAAGAGAGATAGATAGATAGATAGATAGATAGATCGATAGATAGATAGATAGATAGATAAATAGATAGACAGATAGATAGGTAGATAGATAGATAGAAAGTTACATAGATAGATAGACAGATCGATAGATAGATAGATAGATAGATAGATAGATAGATAGGTAGATAGATACATAGATACATAGATACATAGATGCATAGATACATAGATAGATAGTCAGAGAAAGAGAGAGAAAGAGAGGAGGCCTCAAGCACCTTTCAGTCCATCAGTGGCTTCGCTCTGCCATCTCTGATTCACAACCACGAACCGCTCCTATAGGTTTCCTATTTTTGAAACTTCCGCCACCGCCTTGTGCGGTACTACTGGTATTGTTTTGTTTTGTATTGTATTGTATTTTGTTGCAATGTAATGTAACGTAATGTACGAGTAATGTAATGGAATGTAATGGTATCTTTGTGAGCCAAATTGCGTAGAACTTCTCATCAATCTCACGCAGCTTCTGAATGTTCGGTCGATTCAGAAACCATTGCGTTGTGTTGCGCACAGCTTGAAGGACTTTGCGAAACCTTCCGTCTTGCACGCGGCAAATTTCAAGTTTGGGATTCAGTCTGGAAAGCAGCAATACATCAAACAAAACAACGGAATTACACCTGCTTCCCACCTCGCAGCAACCAAACTACACAAAGTAAAAGGACAAACTGGGACAAACGCTGGAATTCCGTCTGTTTTTCCGGCAAGAGGCTGAAATGTGGCCCAGCTGGCAAACTTGTCCTGCATAATACGGAAAGCAAACACAACGTTGAACTCGCCCTTTGTCGTCTCTGGTCGAATCACCATAATTCCATGAAACGTCTGGCCACCTGAAGACGTTGCATGGCCGAACCGCCAACACTACAGAAAATGACAGAAAATCTCTGACAAGAACTCCTGGTTCAGAAATTAATCAAGCCCAGAGAATCCAGTCTCCATGAAGAACCCACTGCAAGTGCCCAAACAAGTATCTGGAACTTGAATTGAAAGCTGCGAGACTGCGCCTTGCCAAAATGCAATAGCGCTGTCACCTTCCGAAGGACAGTCTCGACGAACCTTCTGATGCACTGCAATGGGACATACTGTATCGTGAAAGCAATAGAGCGGAAAGGCCCTTGGCTGCTTGGATCGTCAAGTACAAAAGTTCCTGAAAAAGGAAATTGCCATTCATCCTAGAGAGACCAATGGAGATCAATGGAGCATGGAAAGCTAACCTGAGAGCCTGACAAAATTTGGACGGAGAGTGTGGAAACGAAAGCCAAGGGTGACGCGCGCACAGCTGGCAGCAACAAATTTCCCAGGTATGTACACCAGAATTTGCAAGCAAACCAACGACACATGAACCCACAGTGGCAAGAAAACACATGTCAATACATTTCATCGTTCAAGTCTGCCTATCAATACCCGGGAAATTTGGACTGGGAAGTATACACATATGTATGCATGTATGCATGTATGTACGTACCTACGTACGTATGTAGGTATGTATGCATGCGTGTATGCATGCATGAATGTATGCATGTATGCATGTATGCATGTATGTACGTACCTACGTACGTATGTACGTATGTATGTATGTAGGCATGCATGTATGCATGTATGCATGTATGCATGGATGCATGGATGTATGTATGCATGCATGCATGGATGTATGTATGTGTATGTGTGTATGTATGTATGTATGCGTGCATGCATGCATGCATGTGATGGTATGTATGTGATGGTATGTATGTGATGGTATGTATGTGATGGTATGTATGTGATGGTATGTATGTGATGGTATGTATGTGATGGTATGTATGTATGTATGTGATGGTATGTATGTATGTATGTGATGGTATGTATGTATGTATGTGATGGTATGTATGTATGTGATGGTATGTGATGGTATGTATGTATGTGATGGTATGTATGTATGTATGTATGTATGTGATGGTATGTATGTATGTATGTATGTATGTGATGGTATGTATGTATGTATGTATGTGATGGTATTGTATGTATGTATGTATGTATGTATGTATCATTATGTATCAGTATGTATCATTATGCATCATTATGTATCATTATGTATCAGTATGTATCATTATGCATCATTATGTATCATTATGTATCATTATGTATCATTATATATCATTATGTATCATTATGTATCATTATGTATCATTATGTATCATTATGTATCATTATGTATCGTTATGTATCGTTATGTATCATTATGTATCATTATGTATCATTATGTATCATTATGTATCGTTATGTATCATTATGTATCATTATGTATCATTATGTATCATTATGTATCATTATGTATCAGTATGTATCATTATGTATCATTGTATATCATTGTATATCATTGTATATCATTGTGTTGTCTGCGGAAGGAATTCAAAAATGGAAGAGCCATTCTCTTACCAAGGATCTTCGATGGATTCGAGATGTCACCAAAGAGCACGTTGCACAATCGGAAAAGAAAACTGTACGTTCGGCCCTCCAGAATCGCTTCACCCGGTGCAACAAATTCTGATCGGCTGATCCTGAGCAGTCTAGAGTGAAAGGATGATTCAACCTCAGCAAGCCAATATATTCTCTGAAATTCATCCTGAACGCAGAGATTCGAGATGCGGTGATATCTAGGGGGTAGCTTTATCTAAATTATTTGCAGGTACTTGTTTCGGTTGATGATCTGCCGATGTTGTTCATTCCTGTCGAGTGAACCGATTTGGATGTGCCCACAAGAGTTTCTGCAGCACAGTCAGCAGTCCGAGTTTCAGTGTCTCGGCTGCAACTCCTTTCACTCCACTTTCTGCGGCTCGAACTTCTGGCCTGACAACCAGACAGAACCACACAGAACCAGACTTGTTCAAAACATTTCAAAACCACAACAGCAAAGACCTAGCACATCTAGGGGCTGAGGGTCACTGCTCGCAGAGCATGAAACTCTCATGAAAGTTTATTAATGTGACAGCGACCGAAAAAAGCAACAGTTGTGGCCTTACGATCAAGTTGCTGGTCTTTTCTGGGGCATCCTGGATTTGAATGCCTTTGAGGTCCTTGGATGGCAGGTATGATCAAACAAAGAAAATTGCGTTCTAAACATGATACGGGCTGATAAGCCCTTAAATGCAGACTCAAAGATCAAATCGGCAGCACATTCGACGGGCCAGGCGTAAAGCCATTTACACGGAACTTGATTGGTTCGCAGTTTCACATGGTATTCGCACATTTGTTTCTTTGCATGGGAAGCCCAAGACTTTACACATCGTGGTGTTGCGTCAAGTACATCGCTTTGACCGCAAGTGGTATCCCAAAAATGGTGTGGCCAAGTGTCAAACTTGATAAGATGGCCTCCCCACGGGCAGCTTCGATGCCACAATTGAGCCTTGGTTAAACCCTCCGTAACTTTTTTCTGCGAACGACAAGTGTGCTCTGACAGGCAGCCACATGGTTGGCTGTGGGTGACCTGCTTTGATATTGATTGTACAGGTGGCACAATTTGCCCAAGAAGGGTCTATGCAAAAAAATGTAGTGGTGTTGAATGATGTTGAAACTTGTATTATTTCCCTCAAAAACGAGCAATGAATTCCAGTTTACTGTACTGCTTGGACATGATCGTGATGGTGATAACAAAGAGGACAACGATAATGCATATCAATCTTACTCGTTACTTATTGCTATGCAATATGGTTCATCATAGTTGGTCATTGTCATTATGCTGCTTAAGTTGTTCATTTTGAACTGACCCTCAAGCAGTGCTCGTGGCTTTGGTTGATGCATTGAGCCAGTTATGTATATCTAACTAACATAGTTTCGTTAAGTTTCACAAAGAGTTGGACAAGGAACATCCGGCCTAGCCAAAGCCAGAGACCAGGACACTGGCGTCAAGACCTCGGGCATCGCCTTCCAGGAGCAAAACCATTGCGAGTTTTCCAGGGAGGATCCTAGCATTATGAATGTTGTCATTTATATATATATAATCTTACGTAGTACAAGTATAATACTGTATATATATATAAGTATATATGTATGTATGAATAATTATAAATATATGTCGAAAATGTTCCATATTCCATTTCTTTCCAGAGTATATTTCATCATGTGTTGATCGTGCCGAAGACAATTGAATATGGCATACATGGTACCAGTCTGCCTGAAACCACTCGTCCACAGCTAGCGGAGCAATTAAAGGAGCAGACTCCATTCTGCTCAAAGCGCGCAAGGGTAGATTAGAAGCAGCGGTGCTGACTCACTGACACTAGAGCCCAAAGCAGCAGTGAACGAAAGAATGAAACTGGCCCTGCGCTTTGCATTGAACAATCATTGGATGGAATTGAAATCCAACCATTGGCCAACTATTGGAACCAGAATACGTTGCCACTTTAGAGTGCAAGAGATGGTCCACCATTGCTACAAGAAGCTGAAACACACGCCATTCTGGCCGATTGTATGTTTTCGTTGGCCTTATCGCTCTGCAGGTGCTATCCCGAGAAACAATTATGTAGTGTAACGCTGTCAAGGTGCACAATCAGGGGATAGTAGACTGCAGCAATGGAATCCAAGGTAACAAACCTTGCCAATGAAGGGTGGCACCAACAGAAATCATGCAACTCAAAAAATGTATGTATATAGAGAGATATATATATATATATTCAAATATGTATATATATATATATACATATATTCAAATATATATATATATACATATGCCACCGTTGTTTTCTCTCCAGTGCCAGCAGTTTACACGAACGTCTCTAGATGTTCACCATCAACCCAAGGGACGGCAAGGCCTTCAGCCAGCCCGTCTCACCAAAAGGTCCCCTCCCACCGATCATGGTGGAGGGGGGGACGGGTGACTTGCGCGGAAATGTTGGACGGCGACCTTGTGATCAAACCACTCTACCGAAAACGTTCTCAAACTATCATGCCACCATTGTTTTCTCTCCAGTGCCAGCAGTTTACACGAACGTCTCTAGATGTTCACCATCAACTCAAGGGACGGCAAGGCCTTCAGCCAGCCCGTCTCACCAAAAGGTCGCAAGCTTGCCCGACGTAGCAACGTAGGTGCCTTCTGGTTTACCGCTTGGGTCATTGCAGGTGCCGAGAATAATTTTCTGCGATAGCCGCCAAGTCAGTCTTGTGAAAGCCAAGTGCCAGTTTTTTGCACAACTTGAAAGGATATGGTTCAGCAATCTTGGAATACCAGGCACCGGAAGGACGGAGACCAGACAAAGGAATGTGAGGCTCGCCATTGGCCACTGTACTCACAAATGCCACGTTTGGAACACTTGCAAAAAAATCCGGCTAAGATACTCAGGTCAAGATGTACTGAAACAATTCATGTTGGTTTCTTCCAAGCCATGCCAAAAGCACAAAAAGTGACATCAACGAATTGAACTGCTCTTCCTCGAAATATGTTCACAACCAAAGGCGACTACGCTGAGGGTTTTCCAAGGTCCATGGGATATGATAAACCAAAGCCAGGAGTAAAACAGCACATGAAAAACGCATCAAACAGTTACCCTGTCGTACTTCGCGCTCATATCTGCAGGCCGAAGGTTTTCCAGTACAAGTGGCTCTTTGTCGCTGCGAAGGCGAGGTGGCCCACCCGGCTGATCCCTTGCTCGGGAAAAACTGTGGCAAGGTGTCCCTAAATGCCCCCCTTTGACATAACCACTTGAGGTCCGGTGCTTAATGAGCTGTTGGTTGGATCGTGTGAGCAAATCATAATTCTCTCCGAATTCAATATCCCAGAGTAAAACAGGCCAATGGATGTGTTGGGCAATTGTTTTGCCCAACCGACCACTTCCAGAAAAAATCTCCAAGAAAAAAGGAAAAACCATGCATCTCTGTGGGCTCAGGGCCTTTCTGACGAGAGCTTTTGAACGTCTTTTTTGGCTTGTATGCATTGCTTTTGTGTTTGAACGTCCAGACTGCCGAAGAGCTGGGCTAGCCTGGACCCCTTCTCGTAATTCCGAACACTCTTCAGTGATTGCCATCGCCCTCTGCCTTGGATGCCCACGAGGCTTCGAAGACGATTTGCGGCCTCATGGGATGCCCCGCCATGACGGAGGCGATGTAGGTGGAATTTGCCCAGGGGGGCGAGTCCTAGGCTGCTCCAGTGATCGTGACAAAAGTCGGTCACATCTTGCAGGCTCACACTGAACGCAGGCTCGCTCTTGGGCCGGGACCTGATGTTCAGCCAGGAAATAAGGAGAGGTCCCAAAAACTTGAAGCGCTTCAAATCCAAACTTAGCATCTCGTCCCACTGCTGAGTCTTTGACGGAATCCCCTCTTCGGCAGGATGTAATAGGATTGCATAGTGTTGATAGGCCCTTCCTGCCTGCTTGACCGGACTGACGATGTCTTGCACCTGGATCTTCAGAGCTTCTCCAGGTCGTAGGTAAAGCAGGAAACTGAGCAAAAGAAACAGACATATCTGGGCATTGCCCGTGTTGAAAGCCTTCATTGCCAGCAAGCACACAGTCTCGTAGGGTACAGGCATGCGTGCCCGAGGTGGGCACAATCTTCGCCACCCCTTCATGGATTGCTGTACCAGAGGTAAGTTCCCCGACCCCTTGGTGCCAGGAATCATGTAAACCGTGGCTGCCACTGTATAGCTTGCAAAATAGAGATGCTCCAAATATAGGGGCATGTCTACCCGCACTCTGCCTCGTGACCATGCCACCAAGAGACCCCAGTGCTTCTTGTACTTCTTCTGTGTCACTTGACCCGCTGAGTTGCTGCGCAGTGTCTGCTGCTGATCCTTGGCTGCCTTTGCCTTTCTCAAGGTGGACCGCTTGCTCTTCTTCTTTTGGCTCCCATGCCCTTCTAACTCTATCTCCCAGGTGAGAGGTGCCTGTGATCGCAACATGTGAACCAACCCTTGCTGTGGCTGAGCCGGCTCTGGCTGCTTTCTCTTCTTCGGTTCTCTGTCCCAGCGCACCGGCACATTCAGGCTTCTCTGAATCATCCCCAAAGCGCCGAGTGGCTCACATTGTCCGCCGGGTTCCACTCACTGGGCACCAACCTACACCTAAGGCCTGAGCCTCTAACCAACGTATATGCTGCTACCTGCTGTACCACCCGTCGGAGTTTATGTCCACTTGCTCGACCCTTATCAAACGCAACGGCTGCTGTCATGCTATCAGTAAGGACATTGAAACGATGGCCAAAATTGGTTACTTTCCTGAAGTAATGCCTCACTGCATGTAATGTACTTCTAGCCTCATAAGCTGGCATGGTGTCTTCTCGAAACCATTTGTGTCTGCCGACCACATGCCACTCCCTGTCCACCAAATAAAAACAAGCCGTTTCGTAAGAAACATGGTTGATATCGTGTTGTATGCTATCTCCAACCAATAATTTGTCATCTTCCATAAGTGCAAACATTCGGGGTTCTCAAGCTTCTTCATCCTGAAACCGCCACCTCTTTGTGGAAACCATGGCCTGACACACACACACACACCAAGACCCCATTCTGAAGCATCAACAGCATAGATATTGTTTGACCAAGGTATGGTTAAATCTTGAAAGGCCAGAGGACATAAACCATCCCAAATCATCAATTCTCGCCGCACACTTTTCCAAAGGGGGACCACTGAAGTGTAATGTCTTTTGATGAAGGTATATACCTCACCATGGGGGGGCAAAGCTGCTCGCCTGCAAAGTGACACAAAAGTAAGGTGGCCGATCAATCTATCGACCTGCTGTCCACTCGCCCGTCCTCTCCTCAACAGCTCCCTGATGGCCAGTCTGATACGAAGGGAAAATTTCTGTCCAACCGAAGCATCGTGCGGGGAAAAAAAACACGGTCAGTGTTAGCACAAACCCCAATCGCTTTTGCGGTACCTATGGATGCTCGAACCTGTCACTTTCATCGCACCGTTGGGTACGTGGCAAATGGATGTCGAAAAATCCGAATTGCAAGTCGAATGATGATGATGATGATGATGAGGAGGAGGATGATGAGGATGATGATGAGGAGGAGGATGCTGATGATGAGACACTGCGAAGGGGCTGCTGCGTGAAGAGACGCACAAGGCATGTGACGAGAGTTCACTTGGGGGGGGGGGCATGGAACTGGACATTCAGAGCAGGGCGGAGATATCTGGATCCGAAAAGAGAGCACCCCACGATGTCCATGGTTGCTCATCACTTAGTCCATTTAAATAGCCATTTGGAGGTATACATTGTCAGACACACGCATCGTGCGGGGAAAAAAAAACACGATCAGTGTTATAGCACAAACTCCAATGTCTCTTTTTGCTGTACCTATGGATGCTCGAACCTGTCACTTTCATCGCACCGTTGGGTACTTGGAAAATGGATGTCGAAAAATCCGAATTTCAAGTCGAATGATGATGGTGATGATGAGGAGGAGGATGATGATGATGATGTTGATGATGATGGTGATGATGACGAGACACTGCGAAGGGGCTGCTGCGTGAAGAGACTCACCAGGCATATGGCGAGAGTTCCCTTTGAGGGGGGGGAGGGGGGGGGTCCCTTTCTCCTGGTCGTTCAAGGATAAGGGGTCCAGCCCGCCCCTTTGCTTCGCAAAGTAAAATACTCAAGGTAGCCCGCTAGGAGGCTACCTTGCATGATTTAAAATCATAATTCAAAATCAACTATATTATATATATATTATATAATAATATTTTCAGTTATTTTTAGTTAATATATATTATAATTCAAGAAACATAATATAAAATATAATTTAACACAAATAAACCAATCGAATTAAAATTTCATTATATATTATATTAATATAAAAATAACAAAAAATAAAAACGATATTTCGCCTTTATTTATATATAAAATTATTCTCACATCTGTAGCCTTGTAACTACAAGACTAAACCTACCTCCGAACAAATATATTACTATATAATATTATAAAGAGATAAAAATAAGCATCATATATCAATAAATTTCTATATATATATATATACCTAGTGATTTTTCTAAATTTGCACTGCGCCAAGTCCGAACTCAGCGGTATATATATATATATTGTTTAAATTAGGCTTCCGTTTTCTAGTATAATTTCGTATGCAAATTCGCGGAGCGTATTTAAGCCCGATAAGAAGGAATACAGAAACACTTGCACATACAGAGAACTGGTTAGGAGCACCAATTAGATTTTATTACGGGGCTTCTCTGCCAAACACGGTCCTCCTCTATCAATATTCTTTTAGGCAACCAGAACAAACAGGGAGGGCCTAAGGAAGAAATAAATCCATTCAAAACTTAGACGATGCATGAAAAACTCAGATTATCCTGGCAAGAACCGCAGCCGTTAGGATATGATTTGCAGGAAATATCAGAAAATAATTTGGTTGATGTCCGGAAGACAGCACATACTATTTATGTCTACCTTCCCTGCTATTGCCCCTAGGTTGCAGGTAGCTAGCTATATTCATGAATATGCGGCTGCACCCCCACATGACAAGTTTTCTTTGCTGCGGCTTTAAAAGCAGCTTCTACGCAGGCTGAGTTTGCACCAACAAGAAGGTAGGAACCTCATAAGAATGGTTTGCTTCCCAATCAAAATTTGAAGTACGGGAATATGCTGAAGGTCCCGGATTACATCCTTGTCCTGGACCCTTATGGATTTCTAGCAATTTCTTTTTTGCAACCACGTCCTTCAGAGAACGTGCAGAAAGGAAATTAGTGAAAGCCTTGAAAATAAGGAGGTGAAATATCACAGCTCTTCATTGAGATGTGAATTATCTATTCTTGGGCGAGCCTTTCAATCATTTATAAATAGTTCGGGGATGTTTAAGGTATTTTATAAAGAAATAGTTCGGGGTACCCCAAAGTCCAAAAACAGAAAGCCTCTAACAAAGAGGCCCACCCACGGTCCAATATATGAATATGTATGAAATTGATCAATAATTAACTAATTTCAATTAATTTCATGGATATTATTAATCAACATTTAATCCAAATATTTTTCTGTTTCTGCCTTTTGCTAAGCTGAATTTACGAATGATGGAACGTTGCCATCAGATCAATATCGATCGATTAATACTAAAACTGGTAAATCCAGGACCGAGATGGAAGACACGAAACTCGATCCAGCGGCTTCAAATGGCCGCAGGTTTGCAATCAACCCACTTCCGCAAACGCCTTGCCAAGTCTTTGGAGGCTCCAAAGCACATTACATGACCGCCTCCACGGACCCACCAAATATCGCAGCATCGTAAGCCTCACGTCTTGCCATGGCCATGGCCATGGCCATGGAGCATCCATGGAGCATTGCCAGGGCCCATGGCCCATCCCTTTCTGAGCATCTGGCATTTTGAATCAAGAGTGGTTTGATCTACTACCGGGTCCTGAAACAAAGTTAACAAAGCGACAATGACTCATAGCCCAATGATCAGATTCAAATTGCAAGTGTAGAGTAAATATAAGATTATGAGAACGTGCTGATCCCCCTCCTCCGGATTCTGAATGCGCAAGACTTCTCCTGCTGGAAGCACCTTTCGAAGTCGCAATGCAAATGAGTCGTCAAAGTGTTCCTCAGCAAATCGATGGAAAGGAACCTGTAAAGGGCCGTAAAGTGAAGTGTTTCAGCAACCTGGCTCTGAACTGTTCGAAAACAGTGAAAGCAGGCCATCGTTGTGTTGTGACTGAGTGCATCTGTGTGCTATATAGAATATAGATGAATATAGACCAATATAGATAGCTTTAATTTTCAACCAAGACTCAAATGGCTTCTTCAACTCTTCAACGCTGACAGCATTCCCTTCTGCCTCAAGCTTTAAGGCCTCGAGTGATGCACTACTGCAATGTCATCCATAGCCATTCTGCTGATCTACAGACCAACTTTGAGCATTAAACCGAGGTGGTGGTGGTTTTGCGATGTTTTATGAACTCTAGTACTTGCACGTGCTTCATTCAATACCAACACATGTGCAATAGTGTCGACTTTTCACGCCATCCAAGCCTCATTCTGTGCCCAGGCAGCTTCAGTAAAGCGCCGCATGTATGACCAGGTGGGTGGCCAGGGAAACCAAGGACCTTCGAGGCATAGGAAACCACGCGTGGTTTGCTTTCTCTTTATTCTTGTTTTTTTTTTAAATTAGCCTATGACTGCTATGACTGCTATGACTGAGGAAAAAGAAGTCAGCTGCCTCCGGGGCATTTGAAGAGCAAACCGCTTCGAAGGTTCACTGCCTTGCTATCCATGCACGGCTATTGCAACACGGGAAAATGTCAAACAAAGCCGTCCCTGAGCAGCCCTGAAAAAAATATGTAAAAGAAAGACGATGGCTGCTCTTCCAGCCTCAATCTGAAACTGTTCAGAGTCTCTCACACACACACTTGCATCATGCTTTTTTGACATGTAGTGTATATTTTCTTATCTTCAAGCCATTTCAAGCCCTTGATTTGCTCCAAGCGGCCCAGAAGTGCAAAGTCAATGGAATGTCCAGTCCTCAGCTGATATAGCTAGCGACCCAGGAACCAAAACTGGAACACTAGACGTTCTCAGCCTTCCAAACCTGAACCCTCAGTGTGTCCAGAATCGCCTTCAATTGGTGTTGGAGTCATAGGGGGGGGGGCAAAATGGAAAAGTTGTCAAGTGGTGTCTTGGAGCAGTCGTTGTCAGGTCCTCAATCCAATTGAGCCAGGTGGCGGGCACAGAAAGCCCACTTTGTCATCGCTTCAAATGTTGTCCGGACACAATCTGGTGAGTGGACGGAGACAAAGCCTCAGTTTCACAGTCATAGCAGATATCAGCGTGGAAGGCATGGTCTTCTATGCCCAATTTTGTGCAACACCGGCCTTAAACCAGTGAAATAGAGCCTACAACCCTGCTTCAGGCGAACGAAAAGCTGACCAATCAGTATTTATCGAATCAGTCAGAACCAAAGGGTAGAGCCGCGAAATGCTACTACATACAATTCACGGCGCTTGAACACATTGTTGTGGCTACAAGCTATCACTTCGATCCATTGGACATTCAACGATTGTAATCCCCGCTGCTGCAACGATTAGTGCCGAAGAGATTGATTGAACACATTGCAAACATTTGGAAGTTCAGCACGAGTACCTGTCGATATTGGTTGCCCAGTTCAAAGAACGGCCAACGCTGCTCTGCATGCTGACACCTACCGGACCTACCGCCTACGGGTACAAACAACAGCAGAGTGATTGACTATCACGCTGGCTTCTTAATCCTTCACAAGGGACGCAAGCGGCAAGGGCTGCCACTCAGGCTGCGATTGACATGCACAAGAGACTTGTCCTCTCAGCAAACTCGCTGGGTGACAGTCTTAGGATCGCAACTGCAGCCTACTGCGTTGACGGCCTTTCTCCATACCGATCCATTTCGCTTGCCGCTTGAAATGACTTTGAAAGACAGTCACACGTTGCCATATGTTGCCCACTGATGACTTTCAAATGGACATGGCTTGCATGTTGGAGGTTTTGCAATGGTGTCTTGTGTATTTCTGCTCTTAATCAGATGATGGCCACATCCTTTGTGGGCGCCAACAGTAGTGTCAGTTGATCATATTCGAGAATACATTCAAAACATGACACCAATCCTTAGTGCCACTTGCCTGCTATCTGTTGGACTCTGTCAGACACTTTTTGCAAACTTGGGGATGTGTCACGGAAAAAACATGTCATGCTGCGTGTGAGCTGATTGAATGACCCAGTCTTCACTGCACCGATTTTACTTACGTAACTTACATCATCATGATTCTGTCTGATGCGCAAGAGACATCCATAGACATCCATAGAAATCCATCTGCAACTCTGGAAGCTCCTTCCCACTCATGGGCTTAACCACTTTGCTTGCGGTGGCCAGAGCCAGCATTCCACCAACTGAAAAGCCAACGGTGATAATTTCTCCTGTGGCAGGCTGACGAGACAAACTGCCATCAGTGGCACTCCAAACTTCAGCGGACACCGTGGAAGAAATTCTTCTTAGCTAAGATGCTGTAGCGGCAGCTGTTCTGTGAATCCATTGCATTCAGCCCCTGTAGGAAATCCAGCAGAAAGGTCCTGAGCTGTACATGGCCAATGTCTCTGCCAGGCTCCAAGACCTTTCTATAGTACTGTATTCTTTCGTTTCCTTTCAGTCACGCCGGACTTTATCACGAGTCAGCCTGCATCAGCACGGATCTTGTGCTATGTATGATTCAGAATAAAAACAATGTATATATATATAAGAATAATTATTATTAATAATAATTATTATTATCATCATTCTTCTTCTTCTTATTATTATTATCATCATCATTATTATTACTATTATTATTAATTATTATTATTGTTGTTATTATTATTATTATATATTATTATACATATATATATATTATTATTATTATTATTATATATATATTTGTTTAACTTACACAACTTTATATTGTAATAATATACTGTAAAATACTTTATATGACCCGAAGAACACCAGTCCAACTCCCAGCGTCGGATCTGATAGGCCAGTGAACGTCCCGTGCTGCCAACGAGCTGTGCCTGAGGCAGCGGCGAAGTGATGGAAGCTTTCGAGTGTCTTTGCCAAGTGTGAATGATGCTGTACTTAAACAAACTGGTGCCATATGGTGCCATCTTTCAGAAAAGCTATTGGCATAAATTCTTGCTCACTGACTGTCCACAACTCGTATCTACGATTTGTGCGCAAAAGTCTTTGATCCCGTTAGCGCCTGTGCCAGCATTGTGAAAGACGCACCAGTCTTCTGAAGGAGCAATGACGTTGCCTTAAGAAGCGCAAGCATCATGGCAAATTCAAAATCATTCACGGTCATTCGTCATCATGCATGCAACATCGCCGTAGCACTTTGCAGAAATTCATCAATGTAGCCCGCAATAGAGTCCGCATCGCTCATCCCACCTGCATTTCATGATGATGCGAGTGTGGCTGCATTTTCACAGGCAAACCGCAGGGCTTGGAACCTAACAGCAAGCACTTTGCACTTCGATCCTGAGAACATGCCTTTGATGTGTCTTACTGGAAGCTCTGATGGAGAACCCAGTTCTTTGATGCGTGGCTGCGCGGCTCTGTTTGAAACCGCTTGCCTGGTACAAGAATCCACAATCGAGATGCGCTTGGGGCCCTTGGAGGCTCCGGCCACCAAACAGCATACTCCTGGCGCCAAGATGCAACATGATGCAACCACTTTGGTGCATTGCCATAACATGCCATAACTGAGGGACGCGTCTCAAGTTCAAGAATAAGATTCTTCTCTTGCAAGGCTGCAAGGATCTTGGAACAGTCTTGCAACTTGAACAGCTTCACACAAGCCTGGCCTAGCCTATCTCTCAATGCATACTATCAAGAAAACCGTCAGTTGATCCCTGGCTCCTCTTTCTTCTCACGATGTTGATGAATCTCGATGCGGTACCTCTAGGCAACATCTGATGGGTCTGATGGAGACGAGAAAATGACAGGAGAACAAGCAAAGCAGAGGGAAACTGCCGTACGTGGCCGTCAATGGTTACACTACTCATCACAAACCCTCAACTTGAATCAACTTGACATGTTGGGGCTGCCAGGCCTGCAGCAATTGAAACTGCAGTCATTGGCAGTCAACAGCCAACATGTAGACAAGGCTTGATGCTGAATCATTTAAATGCATCAAGCCCTTGCTGCCTCTGCCTTTGGCCCAGAAGTCGACGTAGATTTACCACAGTCGAGCCAAACAGCATGCTGGCCATACTGCGATGCCACCAGAAACTTCGCCTCACTCGCAGCGCTTGAATTCTGCCAACCCGAGTTGAACGATTCTTTCACTCTTGCATCAAAGAATGTCATGCTGCAAGCCTGACTTTGGCAAAGAATACATGCACATGTTGAGCTGCAGGCCTGTCCTTGCCTACGTCTCGAACTGTTTGCCACGACAGCGCAGGTGTTTCGCTTCCAAGACTCTTGCTTGACATTGAGGCCAATCGCACTCTTGAAACGAATGGAGTCTGGAGAGCTGAAACATTTAAACAGAAGTAGACATACTAAAAAGATCTAAAAAGTAGAGTATAGTAGAGGCAAACAAACAGAAAAGCGAACTCTCCAACATTGAGGTAAGTTGCGCTAAAGATCGTAGATATCGAGAAATACCTCGAGACGAAATGACCCCGAGGCAATACTTCCAATCGTCTTCATCTCCATGCCTTTCTTTCTCTGGATCCCATGAAATTTCAAGGAAATTCATGTGGAAATTCATGGAAATTCTAGAGATGACCTACCACCACCACTTGACAAGCCCAGTCACAAGCAGCCAAAAGCAAACTTAGCAAACTTCGCCAGAAGCCTTGTGGAGAGAGTCTGAAGTTTCGCAAGCGATCCTGCAGTGCACGGGGGTCCACCTGAGGAAAGGACTCCATGTGTCAGGTGAGTTGCTGAGTTGCTCAGCTGATACAATCCATGCTTTGACTGCAGCTTCAACCGGTGGCCAAAGTGGAAAGAAAACACTTTGCATACCCGGCATACCATCGGCATACCGTCGGCATACCGTCGGCATACACTTTCACCAGATTTCACCAGCTCATGCAAGCTCCCATAGGACCCCGTTGCCTAATCTTCGTTTCAAGTCGAGGTGCGAAGCTATTCTTTGCGCGAGTCAAGTCCATGGCTTCACGTTTTACCCAAAGCAAAACGCATCCAAGGTGGCAGGGAGGTGATACGGGCTACAGCAAAAAGAGATGGCATGAGATAGGCATGGCCGCATGGCCGCATGGCCACTGTCCAAGTCGGTGCTCTGCATTGGTTCAGGCACGAATGGCAAATGGCACAAATGGCACAAATGGCACAAATGGCACAAGTGAATCCAATGGACCAAGTACATTCAAGTACAACAAAAGTGTTTCTGCCAAATAAGCTCCTGTGATCTCATGCGCTCCAAAGGAAAATTGCAAGGGCGCACTTCTTTTGTTCCTTGCCACTTAATGCCAAGTTTTCGAAGGCATTCCAACAAGTCTTCAGGGATCGGGGCCTGCGAATCAAATGCTCTTGAAACCATTCAACGGTCTCACATGGTCTCACCTTAGGAGCGTCCTAGGAAGGTTTCCTTGAACTTTCATCGGATACCACATGTCTGCAGGGATTGCTATAACATGCGGGTTTGTCTGAAAATAGCTACCCCGGAATTTTATCGTTGACAAACCTCATTTTCCCTATTAACATAGCAAAAAATAGCCATGTAATTCTTGGGGTATCCATCAGCCGTGCAAAAACACATCAAATCTGCCTCCAGTTGTAGTGGATGGTCGGACCGCGGATGTGGAGCTGCGAAATGCCAGGCGTGCAGTGCCTGGGCCCCGAACGATGAAGGCGGCTAGTCATGGCTCAGGGCTAGTCGCAATGCCATGGATTCCAACAGTGAGAGCAAGAACCGAGTGAAGATGAAAACAATTCTTTATTGCAAAGATTGCAAAGTAGAATATTGTAGAATCACGTCAGAAATTCTCAAACGAAAACTCGAGTCAAGCAAATTCAGCGGACATGAAAGTGAGACAGTCATGTACCAAGCGGTGACTCCCAGGTGTTTCTTTGTTCAAACTTTCGGCAGCTGGCTAAGTACACCACCACTCTTCTTGGCGCCTTGGTCCACACATATTACCTGTGGCTGTGTGCCTCCACTTTAGCTTGTTGGGACTGCCTTCTCTGCCACCATCTACCAAGAAAAACAACATATGCTGCAAGGATCAATGTATGCTTTATTGAAATTGACGTGCTGCATTCCTCGCTGATTTCAATCACTTGTCCTGGGAAACCTGAGCTTTATAAAATTGGGAAGACCAAAAGGAAAAAAAGGCCAAAGGCATCCAAAGACCAAGATATTAACAATCCAGGCATATCGGAAATCATGCCAACCAGGCACCCTGAAACCCAAAAACCCTAATCTAAGCTTTAGTGGATTTTCTTGGAAGCGAGAACTTCTCCGTGTGGGTTGGGCATGTGAGGGGTCGTCTCTTGTCATTCCTGTTGACAGCCTGACGGCCTTGACGTTTCGGGGAAGTTGTCCATGAGTCTAAGGCCCAGGCCGCTGGATGCACGGCCACATCGGATCCACCATACCTGCGAACTTTGGAACAGGCTACTGATGGCTACCGTTGTTATGTCATTTTATGGATTATTGTCATATTATTATATATTATTGTCATGCCAGACATCACATCGCACATCTCATCGCCGAGCAAAGGAGCGCCCACGTGCTTCGCATGTAGTCTGATCTGCGGCGCTGGCTGCACATCACATCGATGCTGGATCTGTAGTGACTGAGCGAAATGCAACATTGCAAGGCCTTGTTTAAAAAAACTGAAGACACAGGAGTTCCGTTCGAGCGCAAAATCAATCTCAATACAGTAAATCTCAAGAATCTCCTGTAAACTGCAGGTTTGACTGCCCAAAAATAGAGTTGTACTGTTTCTGACATTGATTTACAGTTCCACCTGTCCTGAATCAGGAAATAGCAGTAATTAACATGCAGTAACTGGGTGCAATTTTCAAGTGCCAAGACTGATGAAACCCATATATACCGCCAAAATTGCAAGCCTTCGGCTTGCAGTGCTTGCAGTTTCCCCCTGAAACACAAGGGGTGCCAGGTGACCTTTGCCTAGCAGCTTTGAAAATGATGCACACAAGCTCAATTTCGTGAGGCCGTGCAGAAGATCAAAAATATCGAACTAAATTACAAGATGGACGAACGGGCAAAATCAATCAACATTCAAACATATTTAAACTACAGTAGGAGAGCGTCGCAAAGTTATGACCACCTGAACAACTCCGTTTCAGCTTGCCACGCTGCCAACAAACGTGGCTCAACAACTCTGTGTTCGCCAGCAAAAATGCAAGGTCGCAGGAACCTGGTTTAAAATTCTCCGATTTGTGGCCGTAGAGAAACCACAATGCATCACCGCATTCTCCCACCGTTTTACGGTGAGAGCGTCGACATAGATTGCGAAAGGTCCAAGTCTGTTCCAGTCCTTGCTACGGCCGGATCAGAAGTTCGCATTGGGCGTTTGGTAGGGCACGGCCACCCATATTGCGAGGCAATCATGGGCACAGTACAGTACAGTCATACTGGGATTCTTGGACATCTGTATGATTCACATTGTCCAACATTTATTGGACCATCTTAGAGCAATTTCTATTCGGGCACAAGTTTGACCAGAGCATACCGCTTGCCTAGCAATCCAGTCTCGAAAAACCGATGGACCAATGGAGCGATCGCCAAGGGACGGAGAGGATGGAGAGAAGTCTTGGTCGGGAGAGAGTGGACAGTCGCTGTCCGTAACTGTCGGTAACCTCTCTGGACCTGGCAGGACAGAATGAGACTGTCCAAATGTCTGAACCAGCTGATCTTCAGAAAAGTCTTCAAACTGGATCTGCAAATACTTGTACATGTACAGATAATAGTAATTATTAATTATAATATGCATATATATATATATTATATCCATAATAATATACTATATAATACTATATATACAGACATGTACAGCAATTGGCAATGCGAGACTTTGCCCACGCATTGCAATGGAGGATGTTGCGCAGGGTCAACATGGTTTAGAGAAGTTGCAAAAACACTGGCTACATGCAGTGATCGAGTGTTTGGGGGTTCCAGTATGCCTTAGTATCTCTCAGTATCTCTTAGTATCTCTTAGTAATAAAATGTCATAAAATTCAAACCAAGGCGATGTTTCTCCATGTTTCTCTTTCCATTTGTAGCATTCCGGACCTGCGAGGCCGTCTTCGGGCTCCAGGTCGAAAGTGGATCCCAAGGTCAAGGACGACATCAAGCTTCCCAGCTTGCGATCCTCATTGGATGGTGCACGTGTTATAAAATGACACCGACATCTGAACAAACGACAACCAATGTCAATCGATTTATGAATAATTCATATGATTCATATTGATATCATATTATGAATATGATTATTAACAACGAACATGATATGTAACATATGTAATTCATGTGCTGCAGCTGCTCCTTTCGAGTCGGCGAGCCCAAACTTCCTGGTGGAGAAAAGGCTTTCAGAGCCTGGCTCAGCTGCAACGAAGATATAAAACACATTAAAGCACCATTTCTATCCATTTGTTTTGCCAGACTCATGGGTAAGTCAATAGGAGTAAAGTGGATTTCTGACCAAGGGGCTCTTCACTTACTGTAAATACTGTAATACACTTTAGTTCCTTCACAGCTGCAGTGATGCCAGGACGATAAGAATTGCAAAAACTTGCGATCAGAAAGCTAAAAGCTGATATACAAATCCTCGTCCTCGCAGTGAACGACATGTTGGCTTTCCTAAATTAAAAACACCACCAGTGGCCCTGTCTGCCTGACCCACGTCCCGAATGGTAAGCACTTCCTGACAGCCAGAAAGACAACTTACATGTATGTACATATTACGTAATATATATATATATATTATCTAAGTTCAAGATAGGTGCTTGATATCCAGCTATAAGATAGGTACGCTACGCTTGGTACGCTTGGTGCGCTTGGTACGGTACGCTTGGTGCGCTTGGTACGCTTGGTACGCTTTGGGTAGGTACGCTTGGTACGCTTAGTAAGGATTAGTAAGGTACGTTTGGTACGCTTACCAACCGTACCGACCTTACCAACCGTACCAGTGAACCATATAGTGAACCGTACCACCGTACCGTACCAGATTAAGGGGGGGGTCAAGGGGGGGCGTTTTGGATGTACCAATACTACTTGACCCCCCCTTAATCTGGTACGGTACGGTGGTACGGTTCACTATATGGTTCACTGGTACGGTTGGTACGGTCGGTACGGTTGGTAAGCGTACCAAACGTACCTTACTAAGCGTACCAACCGTACCAACCGTACCACATGTACCAACCGTACCGTACCAAGAAAACCAAACCTACCAGCCGTACGTACCAGACATGTTTGGATCTTACTTAAGGCCTCTACCACCTATCTTGAACCTAGCTAATATATATATTTATACATATATATATATTTATACATATATATATATGTATACACATATTGTAGAGTATATCAGTCAATGAAGGCCTCTCCCTCCTCTTCTCCCTCCTTCTTTTTTGCCGAACCTGGACAACTGCACATCGACCCCCCCAAGATCATGGTCGGACACAATCTCATGGCATGGAGAGTACCTTGATGTACCTTACTACTGGACCCACTTTCACCTGTCTCCACTAGCCTGAAGCTATTATTCACTGCTTCTTCTCCAACTGTGAACACCAAGGGTTCAGTTTCTGAGCAGCCCCTGCGTTTCGTTGTGAGGAAGCTGCTCCTTTTTGCTCCGGCAGCCTGACAAGCACAACCGTCGCCCTCCTACATTTGGAACACAACTTTGGCACGAGGCATTCTGAATTAAGGAGTTTTTGAAAGGCCGGGAATCTTCCGGAATATTTTGCACAGCTTCTATTATATCAAGTTCTACCAAGTCTATACAGCTATACCAAAAATCCATCGGAAAACGCTGGAAACAATATACAGTTGGGGCTCATCAAAGTATTGGCAGAACAACTCTGGGCTTCTCACATTCCGCTTGCCCTCTTCGGCAAGTATGTCCGCCTCCCTGCGCGCTGTGCAGCAAAAACACAGACTGGACTTGTCCTTCTTGATCCGTCAAGAACATCATTTTCAGGGTGCAAGGACATGTGCGCAGGAGCTGTAACAAATGAATCCAAAAGCTTTCACACATACATATAGTCATGAATAGTTATGCATATAATGCATTAACACACGTTTGGCCTCCGTTTCTAGCTTCAGCGCCTCAAAGCAGGATGGCGACCAAAGCGTCCACGATAGACAGGACGATCCTGGGCGTCATGGTGATCTGTCTGCAAAACAGGTGCTATCTTGAACTGTGAGGACAAAATAATGGTTCAATATGGTTCAGTAATATCATTTCCATTCATTTCCCACCAAACATGGCCATACATTGGGGAGAAATGCAAACAGCGTGAGTAGATCTGCCCAGTATCAAGCTGCATCAGGATGACATCTGCAAAGTCATAGGGATCGCTGCCGACCACATAGTCTGGCCAAAAGTTCCTGGCATGAAAAATGGAAAAATGATGAAACATGCCAATACAGGATGTTGATTGATGCTATAAAAATTGATCTGTCAAGTTACCAATGGACCAAGTATTTCGAACAGATTGCAGTGAAGAGTTGCTTTCGCCACCATCAAATAATCGAGGGGTGGACGGATCGCTCTCTTGCACAGTTAAACAGGCTGTTCAAGGGGCTTCAGCCGGCTTCAGTTTGAAACAACCGAATTTCCGAACTTCCAGTCCTCTTCGAGTCTGGGATCGCTTGATTAGCTGGGTGTTCCTGACAGCAAACTACGCCGCAATAACACACACACATGTTATGACAATGTCATGACAGAACATGATAGAAAAAGACGAGCCTTGAAGGAGCCAACGTGTCCCTCAGCTGTTTTTTGTAAGCGCAATAGTCTTCAAACTGGATACAGTCTGTGCCAAGATTAAGAATGCCAGGTGACTTATATGTGCCCTATCTATCACGAACTATTCCTGGTCAGACTTTGAGACATCTGAAATGGTTTGTGAATGTTGAAACAATTTTTGACAATTTGGACTTGACAGTGATCAGCATTCCTTTGCCTCAAGTAATAGATAGCGGCTGAGGACTCTGCAAGCCCTTGCGCACAGCAAGCCACCAGCTTCAAAATGACAGCCTCCACAGGGACTGTGTTGGTCAAGCACATCTGCAGGGTTTTCTGTTAGAACTGGGTACTGGGTACTGGGTATCTTATCCTTCCACGCTCTCGGACGTTCTCGGACGTTCTCGGACCCTTTTTGTCACTTCTTGCGTTCGTTGCGTTCGTATGGGTAGATGATCGCGTCAGGCATTCGAGAGAATGGTGGGCTTGACGCAGCCTGCCCAGCAAAACTCAAAATTGAACCTCATGTTGTGTCATATTATATCATTTCAATTCCATGGCACATACAGCCATTCCAGAAATCCAGTAGACAACAATTGATGATGCTTTCATATTGCTTTCAGATGCTTTCCCTGATTGTGACAGTGTTGTCCCTGAGCAATGAAACAAGCCTTCAAAATGGCCAGCTTCGGTGCATCCCGTTTTACATCCAGGACTGGAACAGCGGCCCAGTGGCGCTGCACAGCGCACCTTATTTGAATGCCGTACTTTGGCTCTTTCTTCACCAGCTTTTTGTCGGTAAGCAGAGTCATACCTTCAGCAGTGACGTGCTATTGTCATGCAAAAATTCATAGCATGTTGCAACATTCCTTCAGTGATGGGCCTCAAATGAAAGCTACCGTGTACTCTGAAGACATGAAAAAACATGATTTTCGCGAAGCGCATAAAACTGTGCATGCAGCTGTGATACTGCTCTTGGACTGGAATGTCCTTGCCGAAAAGCCTCCGGTATGCTAATCGATAGTTGTCAACCTGGCAATCTCAGACTACGCTTCATGAAGGTACGTTGTTTCTTCTCTGCGAGGCATATGCAGGGGCGGCCACATGACACAATAGGATTCCAACATATCATTGAGGCGCCCTGTGATAGGGGACATTGAGGGTATCAAAGGAATGGCAAAAAAAACAAAGTCCAAACGTTCTCATCTCGCAATCTCGTGATATTTCATGAACCTCATGGATTTTTCATTTCGCTTGTGATTGCAAAAGACTCCAAAGAGATGCACCATGGTGCACCTAATGTTAGGGGCTGGCAAGAACTCTGCCCAGGCACACGATAGAGCGACTCACCCACACCTAAAACCACAGGCACATTATACAAAATGTGTTGCTTGCCCTCGAAAATCATGATATTTTATCCATATCATATTGTCATATTATTGTCATGATGTATGAGTACAGTAGGTATCATCACTAGACTGTGGCAAACATATGGCAAACATTCCTTGCATCCTTTTGAGGCAGCGACGGATGAACTTTGGTCGCTTCTTGTCGCCCTTCCTCGGACCTGGCGATTGGCGAGAAAGGCGCTCAAGACGAGATTGATGCATCGACCGCTGTGAACAAAAACAACAGCCAGACCTATAAACATCCTATAAACATCTATAAACTATATCTAACAATTACACTATTGTCTGGACATGTCTGGACATTATCTATAGAATTCTATAGATCTATGATCGGTATCCAGACTTTTTGGTGCGCACAGCGCCAGCACTTCCTGTACTTCAGCAATCTTCAGCAGACCTCCAGCCCACCAGCCGAAAGAGCGGCGCAAGAAATTCGCACAAACTTGAGGCTTTGCCTGAGTTCCAGTCTGGTCCAAAGGCAATACCAATCCATTAAACAACAACATCGCAAGATGCTGCGGTCATACGCTTCGCATTGCGACATGCCACGGAATACCTCACAGCAACAGGTTCTGGCCGAGCTACCCAAATCGCACGTTGAAGTTGCAAGGCCATGGCTGGAACTTCGGAACCACTCACGTTCGCTGTGGCAACGTCGCCACCAGCGTGTCTACAAGCAACCTTTTTGAAACTTCTCTGCTGTTCTCCCAGCAATTCCCATAAGCTTTGCCAGTAGGGAAAAACGCCAAGCTAATATATCCCTGTAATAGCCCTATACCTTGCTTTCTGCTTTAGAATTCCTACTCTTTTTCGTTCATGGTGTTTGTCTTTTGGATTGTAGCTTGAATAATATCGTTCGAAGTGACGACTCTTCTTACATGTATATATATATAATATGTCTTCAGGCTCAATGTCCTACCACGGTTCTGTCTTGTTTTAGAGAAACAGCGCAGCGAATGTGGGATGGATGCTGTCACAGGAAATAGAAGCCTGTGGCCCCCCCCCCGGCGGGACTATTCAGCATCACTGCATCAATCTGCATCACTATGATTGTCTCTTGACTTATTCCCACCATGGCCAGTTTCATCATGCAACGATGATCCTTTCGGCCTCTGGCATCTGCCAGTAGGAGAGCTCACTCGAGTCCTGTGGACAAGTGTCGGACAAGTGGCTTAAATATGCTTAAATATATTACCATCAAATAATATCAAATATCTGAAGAATCGAACTGTCAGGCTCAGGCGATGCAATTTACGCCAATTTTGCTGCCTTCTCGTTTGCTGTGATCAAGTCTTCTTTTCTGATTTCCAAACTCTCCTCAGATTCAGTGCATCAGATTTCAAGTGCATCATTAATCATTAAATCATCTTCACAACTGGCAGCCGCAAATATTCATAAGACTCTGCAAGTCCTGCATGCAAAGAAAGGACAAGAAAGGAGAGAACGGCTATAGCAGTTCCAAGCCGGGGATCAACAACGCTCTTTGTGGCACCGCCATAGTGGAATTGATTCAGGAAGTTGTCCAGCTCCCGTCGGGCCCTCAATGCATCGAAGACCAGTTGGAGGAAGGTCTTGCCAATGTACATGTGATGCTTGATTGCTTTCTTGTGGTACCTGGCGACATTGGCATAGAATGCATAGATTTTACATGATTTTACTATAATAATATTCTTCGATTAGGTGATGAAGATGCAATTTCCATGGATTCACCTAAGCAATCCTAAGCTTCGAAGCAAAGCATCCAATCCTTGACCTGGACTCCCGCGCACGCGGCGATCACCGCGCGGCGCTCAGCCACAGGGATGCGCTGACTCGAGAAGTCCACTACCAGTTTCCATTTGCTGCTCACACTGGCCTGCCAGATGCCAAAGGATGCCAGAGGATGTACTGGCCGAAGTTCCACTGAATTTTGGTCGCAAAATGTTGCATAACTGAAGACTGAGACAATAGCTCCTTTGATCAAACATTTATAGATCATTGAGCTGTTACGATTTTGAGTTCACAGGATGATGTGTTAACATGTATCTCAGTGGCCCAAATTATATTCAACTACGGGCGACGCAGTCAGGTCGATCTGGAGCCATACACACGAAACTGAGTCAACACTGAGAAAAGATGAGAAAAGTCCTTCAGCGGATACTTTAATATCAACACACCCTGGTGGCCAAAGCGCGAGGGAAATATGGCTCATATCATGAGATATCATGAGTGTATGGTACAGTATGTATATGGTATGTATGTGATATTTTGACGAAGAATTTGCGAAACTCGTCTGGCCTCCAGTGCTGCTTGCAAAATTCGCCGCTTCCTGAGGGATAAAAACCCAAAGTCAAAGAGCAATTTCATGATTTCTGGACTACCAGCGACCGAGCTCAACCTCAGGCCTATTCTGTGAGAGTCATATCGCAACGGCCGAAACTGTCAAAGTTTCAATTTGCGACTGCCTCTTGAAAGCAAAGCTGTGAAACCAGGATGAGGACCCCTTGAAGCAACTTTTCTTTGTGGCAAGGAGAATCGGATCAATACTACAAGGTGTGCCTGTCTGCCAAGGTGGCAGTTCTCCTTCGGCGATCTTTTCCAAGTACCAGTAATCGAAGTACTCACGATGATTCAGAACATCTATAGTATATCATCTACAGTATATATTATATACTAGTAACTAGTGATTGTGAGGTTGATCAACGGGATTTCAAGAAGCAGGGATCTTTTCCTGCCAATTTGGCACAAAGACGAATCAACTTGGCATGGAGAAAGCGTGGCCACGCACGCACAGATTGAACATTTTTGGAAAGTGAGCAGTGGGTCAAATCAGATGATTAGGGCTACAGGAACGCCATTGTCCTTTTATTTTTATTTTTTTTACGATCTTTGACTTAGTTTTTTTTTACCCGACAACCAAACCTAGATCCCAACAGTGAATGTGTTAAAACCCTTTGCGATATTCTGCCCACTGCTCGTGCGAAAGGATACGTATGTTATCCAAAGGGTCTAGGATTGGAATGCCTAGAAGGATTGCAGGATCCTCTCAGCAATCCTTCTCTAGCCATGAGTTAAAGTGGTGCACCCAGCAGGCCTGTGACCCTGCGAGGTGCTTGGCTCCCCTGGGAGAGATTCATTAGCAACTCACCGGTGTTGAGATCAGCTGGTCTCGCAGAGATATGGTGACTGGCATAGCACAGGCGAATATGGTGATTGGCAATCACTGGTGTGAGATGCCAGCGATTCCACCTCACTTGTGCCGAGGATTTCCCCATCAAGTGAAGTGACCCTTGTGCTTCTCTGTGCTCCTTTGGTGCTGTCCCGAGTCATAACGCTTGCTTTCACCCGAACAGAATCATCAACTTCAAGCGACGTAACGCGTTGACTTCTCAGGATCTTGGATCCGAACTTTTCTTCACGAGGAACCATCAAAGATGCCCCAAAGTTCTGGCTGTTCTGGCCACTTTGGCGGGTCATGCTGGCGTCGCTTCCCATGGCGACGGAGTCACCGAATCTAGAAATTGATTGGCACCAGCGGCATTGAGCCAAGCCCTGTAGCGGAGCATAGGGAAAAATCTTACTCAGCTTGGATGCTTCTCTCCCCTATTTTTGCACAGCAAATACAGTTGCTTCGGAAACTGAGGAGTGCGCGATTTCACTTTTGACCTGTCGCCACTGAACTCCAAATGCATTGAATGTCAGTAGAGCTCCCAAAACATGAACAGTTCATTGCCGTTTCAGGGGGCTAATCTATGATCATACTGCTACAAGCAACTTCCTTTGAGCTGCAAAACCTTCAAACATGACTACTTGTACATCTCCCTTTGGGGACTACTGCCCCGCCAGCAACATCCCCGGAACAAAGATCTCTATATTTTGAAGAAAGTATTCCCAGCATTTGCGCTGTATGTACTCTCAGTTGGTAGTTTTGGGACACTAATTTGAGGACACCATAAAGTCATTGAGCTGGAAAACGTGATCATATTTCTGCCACTGTCATTCTTTTCGTCTTGGGGGAGGTGAAGAAAGCAATTGAATTGAGGCATGGTATATAGTTTCGCACCAGTGAAGGAACCATTTCTCTAGAGCATTCCAATTTCTATCTGTTGAAGATACGGCCAGGAAAGTGGAAAGCAGCATGGTTTGGGAACGATTTGGGGATTCTGCTCCAATCATCGAATCCAAAGCACAGGTGAAAAGCATGGCGGGCACACGTCTTTTCTTTTTCCTGAAACATTCAGAAGTCTGAGACTATGTGAACAGTCTTTTATTGCTCATTGACTCATGGTTCAAGGCTGACCAGGCCTGCATAGCTTTTTGTGCACGGAACTGCGCATGAGCTGAAAGATGCATGTCCTTCCAACAGACTCAAGCTAGCTGTCTGAGTGACAAGAATCGCTTCCGTTTTCGTTGAGTTCTTCCTCAAATGCTGGTCCTCAATTCTGCACCACTCCTTCTCAATCACATGGCCTCGGCAATTTCTTTGCATGGAAATCACTTGGAATCATCTTGCTGCCTCTCACTGTGAATAGAATACTTTGGCGACGATTGAAACCACACCATGTGTTTCCAAAATCTTGGAAAGTACAATAGTGGCATACATATGGATTAGAGACGTTTAGTGACTATTTCCAGAAGCGCCATTGCCGATTGAGGACAGTGTTTGCCTTGTGCATCATTGGTGCCATCCCAAGATGGCGTCGTTTGGTAAACCCAAACATCAACAATCCCCAAAAAATCACAATCAATTGATGGGTACTAGACACCGTCCCCAAATGGTATGGTTTATGGCATTGGCTTTACCACAGTGTATAATTCATTGTTCACTGTTAGCCAATCATTATCCCATCATTTCACCATTATCCCATTTTTAGCCATTATTAACCATTGGGTTATCCCATGAAATAATAGATTGGGTTTATCCAAAAAAGATTGGGTTATCCCATGAATTATCCCATGATAAATCATTATCCCATTGGGTTTATCATGGTTTATCATATAGATTTTGAGCCATACCAAATTTGCCCACGTGGCCACGAATTCATCGCCATTGGCTCCGGACAACGTCGACGTTTCATGGCCAAATATTCCCGCACGGTGCTTTGAATGGTCTGGCACAACACTGGCATTTATATATATATATATAAACATTGCAATATATCTATGCATAATATGCATATATATATATATACATGTAACAATCTATATAGATCTATATAGTATATATATATATAATATCACTGCCCTTTTAAGGGGGGGACGTACCCAAATTGCAAGACACAATTTAGACGTTTTTGAGGGAGGGGGGGCTGGTAAATGTCAGCAAACATTTATTTTTCTAACTGCGTTCTATTTGCAAGATTTCGTTTTTGTAGGTCCCCTCACTCTTTACGGGATTTCATTTATTTGCTTTAAAAACTCAGGGGGGGCGTTCAAAATGTCCGATTGCATTTTTGAAAAAATGCAAGAAAATGAAAAACAAATGTAAAATGGTCGTGTGAGTGTCTGCAAATAGCTGCAGAATTGCAGAAAATCAAAAATGCAAACTGAAAGTTAGTAGGACCCCAATTGCTTGGTATTTCCAATATATTCTACACTTTTTCTGCACCTTTTTTTATCATTTCCACATGTAACATAGAGGTATAGAAGGTATATTCCTTGCAAATTACGGGAAACTCCTTGAACTTCAAATAAATGTAAAATTAGATGTTGAAGGTATTCAAATTTACCTCCTACCTATGGAAAAAAACAATAGAATACAAATAAAGATCTCAAATGGACCTCAAAAGGACCTCAAATGAACCTCTATGGGGTCCCATAATAAACCCCCTTTATGTACCTACATGATCGAACTTAAACACCCTTCTGCCACGGTTCCTATCTAGCCCCCTTATGACCCTCCAACCATAATATAATAACATCTACACATGTGTAATTCTGCTTCTGAAAGGAATTGTGGAACTTGAGGTGTAGGATGGTTACATTTTTCTATCTTGGCTTTACCTTCTTTTTCGAGCACTTTCTGCAAGGAAGTATGGACCTTATGTATAGAAAGGTTTAAATCTTACATTTACCTTCTTTTTTAAGCACTTTCTGCCAGGAATTATAGGCCTCAGGTGTAGGATGGTTACATTTTTTTATCTTAGTTTTACCTTCTTTTTCGAACACTTTCTGCAAGGAACTATGGACCTCAGACATAGGTTGATTACATCCCCACAAAGACACCTCACAAACAGTTTACAAACTGCTTGCGGACATTTGACAATTTTTACCTTCCCCCCCCTTTCAGTAGAGTCCGGGGGGGATGCGGAGGGGGTTACGGGGTGACGTATCTCTTCCGGACTTTCAACCCCCCCAAAAGTAAATCTTCCGAGGCACGGTTGTTGACGTAGGAGGGGTCAAAAAAAACATATAGCCTTCCCCATCGGGAAAAAATACGAAGGGGTCAAAATTGTTGCTTACATTTTTTGAACGTCCCCCATGCTTACACCCACGAAAAGGGTGGTGATTATTATTATATAATATCACCACCGTTTTAAGGTGGGGGGACGTACCCCAAATGTAAGCTACATTTCTCAAGGATTTCAAGGTGTTTTTGAGGGAAGCCTTGAACATGTAAGCTTACATTTTGAAGGTATTTTGAAGACCCTCCCCACAAAAACGACACCTGGGGGACGTTCAGCGACCAATTTTACATGTAAGGGGGGGGGTCCCAAAAAATGTATCTTACATTTTGGTATGGGCCCCCCTGAAAAGTAGCCTTAAAGTTTTAAAGGGGTGGTGATAGTATAATTACAGTATAATTTAATACACAGTAATATGTGCATATTACTTTTCTCTATATATATATATATATATAGAGTGATGTGCCAATCAGACCTAATGGGCAAAGGATATCCGGAACTCATGCCAGAATGGGAGTGCAACATCTTGGGCGTGGATTCAGCATTAAAAGAAATGTGTTTCACACTGTTTCATACAGAGCGGACAGATATGATTCCCTACCTTTATCCGCGCATTCCGCACAGACAGCTTCAACATGCTTCAACATGCTAACACGCTGCAACATCTGCACTTCCTGATATCGACGGCACCACAGCTGAGCGCACCCTGACGTTGTTCATGAATTGCTTTAGAGCCCCACGGATGCGCACCCATTCGCCGAGCTGGCGCAATAGAACCTGGAAGGCTTCCATAGGTTTCGTATGGTTTCGTAGCTGTGGGTGCAATGAGTAGTAAACATAGCTTTGAAATGCTTTGAATGAGGATAACAAACAAGTTCTGAGAAGTTCTGCTTTTAACTTCTAATCATTCACAGAAAATGATGAGTGCAGAAGTGTCTTCTTGGCAGACTAACTCTTGGAGCCACTGAACATTCAGCTGTGCAATGTGATGCAATGTGCTTCATTAATCTTCATTACTTCTCCCAGGCATTGGCAAGGCATTGGCCACTTTCCACCCGAGCAAATTTGGAGCAGCGAATCTCCCAGGCGCACCAAACACGTGTCCACAGACCGATCCAAACGTTGTTTTCTGAAGAGGAGCTTCAGCCACTGGCAATTTCGAAGTGTGGCACTTGCAACATGAGATACTGCTATTGATGAACGCACACATGGTAATCTGAGAAATATGGAAAATGGCTGAATACATCCGAATAAAGATCTGCAACACCAGACCTACGGTTTGGATCGGTTTGGTCCAGTCTCTTCAGTCATCTTCAGTCTCTTCCACTTTCCGACACTGTCAAGCAACTTCCACACAAATTCTGGCCATGACTGCCTCGAAAACGGGTATGACAAGATATGACAGGTGTCAGTGCCTGCACGCAAGCGCGGAGACATACCCAACGAGTCCTGATCTTCCTCATCCGCTCCTCAGTGGATCTATGTGCACCTTGCACCACCTTGCACCACCTTGCACCACCTTGCACCACCTTGCACCACCTTGCACCCAACAAGACTCCCTGAGGTTCGAGGTCCAGGGAAACAAACTTTCCTGGCTGCGCTTCTTTTACATGGAGTTTTAAGATGTTTTATAAGTTTTAAGTGATTACTTCCCACAACTCCCAAGCTTGCAGTATGTTCTTTCACTACTCTCCAGTGTCGTCATAAAAGCCCCGGCAAACACCTGAATCCTTGAAGGCCCCCAGCTCCCAGCGACAGCTGTCAATCCTCAGTGAACCCAGGGCCATGGCCAGCTGCTTGCGGAGTTCATTCTTGAGCTCCGTATTTGGCCTGGCGCAGAAAATGATCTTTCTACACAGAACTTCTCAAAGAGTACCATGTGGTGACCTAAGAATTCTTGTTCCATAGATTTCCATCAATTTCGGTGACTCTGCGGGCTCAAGATACTTTTTGGGATTTGAATGCTCCACACCGGCGAACGGCATCCACGTATTATCCACATGAGATAAACGCGCGTAAACATGCTACTTCAATCAAACAAATCTGAGCACTCTCATTCACGGGTCAGGTGATTCATGTCTGACTCTTCAGTGCAGGTCTGCTGAAAAACACTGCCTCGCGGAAGTGCGTCTGCCCTGCCAAGTCAGATCTCATCCGGAAACAACTCACACACACACAGTCCTAGAAGTGCGCAAGCAAACAAGATATAACAAAAATTAACAAAATTGTTTCCATATTGTTTCTTTATGGTTAGCGTCTCCTTTTACACCCTTTTACATTTAAATAATCAGCTGCTCACCAAGATCGTGCCTTTCCAAAGGCAGCAGGTGACAAACTGTTGACTGTCCTGGACAGGAGCCAGGCCAAGAGCCCTGACATTACCACAGCACAGCGGCTTTTCATCTTTTCATCGCGTTATCCACATTTCCTCCATTCCCTACTTTGCTGGTAGCTCAGCATTAAAAACGGCTCCTGATTTCCAGGTAGCTTGAAATGGCACCAATACATCCAAGGCTCCCCCAGCTGCTGACTCATGTGGTTCCTCATGTGGTTCTGTGACTTGGTGTGACCTAATCCTGACCTCTGCGGCTCTCCGCTCCTCTTTGACTGCAGCTTCTTCTTGCCTGTGGGCGTGGGCCTTTCCTGGTGCTGGCAGTGGCAGCAAGTCAACTTCTTCGAATTTCTAAGAACCCCTAAGAATCCTCATGCTGAACCGTTCACCTTCTTTGACGAAGTGCGATTCATGCAGCGGTCAAGAGCCAAAAAATGCATAAACTATCTTCACGAACATTCATCCCTATCTCCTCGCGTCTGAACTGGTCCTTCATCCTAACATAGCTGGTTCAGTTTCCTGTACAATACAACTTGCAGAGGAATTGGATCAACATGATCAACAATCATAAATTTTTCCATCGACTTCTCCATGCCCAATTGCTGCCCACGAGTTGCCTCGCTACTTCGCCGACTGCTGTTGAAGCTGCCTCGCCGGCTAGCAGCCTGGACGGCAAAGATCATGGGGATAAGGTCTAGCGCTGGGCAACACCAGGACAGCCCTCAAAACTACAGGAAACATGATGGGTCCCCAAACACTAAACACGTCTAAACACTGTAATACCATGTACCATATTGTACCATGAAATACTCTGCGGTGGATTCTGACAGGTAGCCTCTATGCCTGACAATGCCTGACATTCAGCATGTGACAGCCAATGACCTCCGAGCCGTTCCAGTCACTTTCGCTGTCGGAGTCAAGAAGTAGAGACACTTCTGGTGAACTTCCGGCCTCATATCCGACAGAAAAAAATCATCTCTCCGTTGGAACATGTTGGAACGCAATGCAGCTGCTTTAGCTATTGAAAATGGCCATTTATAGTGCATTTTCCCATTAAAAATGGTGATTTTCCTTCCCAACAGCAATTCCTAGAACTTTTCAAATGTTCAGGATCACTCTGGCATTCCGACGCTGGCCAATCCCCATGCGCGACACAAATATTCAGGGCACTCACTCCTGCAACTTGCCAAGTATGTCAACGAATATAAACCAATAATGAGCAGATGAGCAGACTAGACGGTCAGGAAATGTCAGGATTTGCTCTATTGGCCCTTAGATCCTTAGGTTCTGTCCTCAATTTCTACTGAAATCTGATTCTGGAGAGATCAACTTCAAGATTCCGTTTGGAAGAAAAAGATCAAACCAAACTAAATCTCTGAGGGTGCGCTTCAGGAAGAAATGAAACGATGAAGACACTGCTCGAAGAAAAACAGAAATACCATATTCAATATTATTCAATTATTTATATTATATTATATTTAGAAAATTTTAGAAACATCAAAACCATACAAAAAACATTGGGAGAAACATGCATCAAATGAATATTTAGAACCGCCGCAAAACCACTTCTCACAACTCTATAGGCTCCATTCTCAGAGATTGGGTCGATCTTCTGGTCACCCAGAAACTTGAAACAACTAATGCAAGATATTGCAAGATACTGTAAGCCTTTAAGATCCTTTAAGTATCTTTAAGTATCTTAAAATCTTAAAAGGTTTTTCGAGTATCATCGATATCACATTACCGTTTTTCGAGTATCATCGATATCACATTACCGATAACAAAACGTCAATAGTGACCGGCTCATGGAACAGCCAATGTTGTGACAGTCCTCATATTGAGCAGCCTCCTCCTCATCTTACGCGCCTTGCCGTCCAAAACGCGTATGACCAATGTACCGCAAAATCCGTAAATCTTGTTGTGTGCTCAACCAAGGTGTTTTTAGCTCTTCAATCAGCCAGAATCTTCTGTCACAGCTTACTATGCAAGCATATCTAAACAGTGTCCAGCCAAAACCAGTTTGTAATTTCACCACACATACTACATGTCTAAGGCCACTGCAATAAGATCATCTCGCTGTGCTTTTGCTTTGGCCAAGCGGTCCTCTGCACAGCTCATCTTGCAAACAGAAACAACCTGTGCCGTCAGTGTTGAACTATAGTGAACTAGTAGACACTGCCTGAAGACTCTGCATGATAACTGTGCGGCTTCTGCTTCCGGCCATATCATCTATATCTTCATACGCAGGTAGCCTACCAAATGCAACAACTGTTTTTTTCGGTTTTGAAGTTTTGCTTTTTGATTTTCCATGTGGTTTCTTTTTTTTGCTTTTTTTTTTTCAAGTTTAAAAAACATTAGAACTAAGGGGAGAGGTGAACATAATGATAACTCATGATAACTCACTCACTCACTCGCAGCGGACAGATCCATCAATCCAAGCTGAGCAGAGAGCCTCTTTCAGACCGTGTATAACAACTGATAACAACTGGTAACAACTGATTTCATCACATTTCATCACATTTCATCACATTTCATCAGATTTCATCACATTTCATCACCATTCCAACAAATAGAAGGCTTTGACTTTGAGCTTTGAGTGTCTCAAGGCGAGGAGCTGTCCTCCAAAGTGAAGCCGTCCAGCAAGGAACTGGCTGAAAACCATTTGTACTGGCATCGCAGGAGGATCATCATGGTTAACATTCGCTTTAAACATACACCGCTTAGACATGTTTTATAGACATGTTTACACTTACACTGTCTGTATTTTCATGTATTTTCTTATGCTCTCTTTAGTTCTGGCGTTCGGATGTACGACTCGCTGCCACTATAGGTGGCACATAATAATGGTCTTACGAACGGTCCACGTAGCAAAACACAGCAGCATATTTGACGGATTTTGACGGTATGGCACTCCCCTGTTCAGCAGCGCAGCCGTATCACCTCGTTAAGACCCGCAAAGCTGCAACCTTGATTGAAGCAAAGTTTGGTTAGGCTCTTGTGCAATGACATGGAGTGACACGACATTCATCATATTCATCTTAAATTTGTGACCAAAACCAATGAGACGCATTGAATGTCAACTGAACCGCTGAAGCAAGGTACTCAAGAAGAGATTTTGAATAACGTGACCAAATTATATATACTTTAATAAGGGCAGGCCGTACCAGCCAGTAGATATCGGTAAATACTGAACATTACGAACATTACTGACCTTCGCGTCACACAGCCTTCAGACATTTGAGACATTTGAGACTAAGGCGACTGAGGCGACTGAGGCATCAGCTTGCCATCGACTCCTTCATGTCGACTTCCCGGCGCCGGCGCAGCTGTAGCAACTCCGAGGCCTTGGGCAAAGGGGGACGTGGACACCGTGGAGGGGTAGACATGGCTAGATGGCTAGACACAAAGGCTTTTACGGGAAGCACACTTTATTGAACTTATCGAAAAAACATGAAGAATCAGTCAAAATATTCAAACTGCAAAGGTTCGGTGAATTATGAGATGTGTGAGACAGGCTGCAGAACTCCTGTGGATTCTTGTCACATTCTCATCTGCTCTCGATTTAATTCTGGAAATGGTGTGGAAGTAGAAACTAAAGGCAGGAGCAAATAAACAAAGTGAAGTTTCTGCAGCTGCTACAGCTCTTTTGCAAGTCACTGTGCTGCCATTGAAGATTGTGGTTTCAGAGCGCCCGCAGAGTAATGGCTGTCCTACAGGGCTCCGCGCTTTCGAGGCAATCACTCGCTGAAAATAATGAATTCCCTAATTGCTTCGGCTTCTGAGCGGCTTCTGCATTTCAAAAAATAACCCTGCAAGGGTGCTAGCATTCTTAGCTGCACTGCTGGGCGAGAACAAATTTGCACTTCTGTTCGCAACGATTCGCAACCAGTTGCTGTTAATGAGTTGCACCAGTGTCTGCCGGGTTTTCACAGCCAGCAGAGCTGTCAGACTATGATAGCATCCTTACCTGCTACAAAGGTGTTAAAGTTCGCTTTAGAAAAAACCACTGAACTTGAACCAAAAGTGATAGTCTTTCACAAGCGGATGCTACATGAAAGTCTGAGCCATGCTCAGGCCTGACAATATGCACACGAACCCTTCTGCTGCCTACAAGTCACCAAGTTTCAACTATCCGATCATGAGTTTTGCACGACCGGTCAAAAACATGAGTTGCAGTGACACGGCGTCTTTACAAAATCCGGAAATGCTCATCACTTCTCATACACCAGGCATGTATCACGCTAGTGAGTGAAATCAAAGGATCTACCACCCACAGAGGAAGATACGGCAGAATGCATCATGTCGCTGATCCGTGCGTCAACATTGAAATCAAGTTGACAAGTTTGGTAGTGGTATCAGCATCCACATGACTCCCGTACATGTGCGATAGCACCAGTGAGGCAGCCTCAGCAATGGTACACTTGGCTGTGTTGATCACAGGAAAGCCTGCAAAGTTCCTGGTGTATAGCATCTTGACCCAATCCAATTCCTTGCGGATGTTGGCTAGGCCTGCATAATTTGAAGAAGCCATTCCCAATCGCTTCATTCTATCTCGTCGGATGTTTTGAAGGGCAGCAGCTTCTGTGGTCAACAATGCAAGCTTGGAGCGCTTAATGCGGAATAGATCTTGGGGTATATCTTCCCCCTGAACCAAAGGATAGTTGGCAGCCCTCAAACCCAACTTGGCAAGAAACTTAGCCAAAGTTGTTTTTCCAGTCCGAGAAGGACCAACTAGAACCACATCAGCATCCTCCCAAAGATGAGGTTTGACTCCATCATCTGCTAGCTCTGCAAAGTCAGTCGCCTCTTTCACTGCGGATTGCAGCTGTGCGACAAGTTTCTTGGACTCTTCACTGGCAGCACTGAGCGGCAACGCTGACAAAGCAAGGTTCAGCACGGACAGTCCTGACATAGTCTCAAAAATCTCGTCCTCACATGCGACTGTGTCGACCTTCACTTCCTTCAGTTCCTTCAGTTGACTTCGCCGACGCAAACGCAAGGAAAAAGACTGCCGCGTCCAAGACTTGGAGGCAACAAATAAAGCGAACAAAGGTCGACCAGGTCGGCGTGAAAGAAAGGCTTCGGTTCCGCGGGCTCCATGTGCTTTGGGAGCAAGTTTGGGCCAACGTAGGAATCCATTAGAGCGAAGCGCGGGATCCATCTTTGAAAAACGTCAAATGTTGAAACCTTTAAGTCATGGCTCTCTTTGTTTTGAGCCTCGAGCCTGAGAGCCGGATGTGACAAATACACTCGTTGCCGTCCATGGTTTCAATCTTGAAGACATGTTTCAAGGACGTGAGCTTTACTGGAAAAACACAATGATTCTGAAAATCATCTTACATTCTTAGCCATGTGCAATCAAACCATTTCACAAGACACCTCAAATATCGTCAAATCCATGTGCTTTGCTATGCAGATCTTCTTGGTGGCCAACATTCTGGTGATGCCCAAGGCCTTCGCAGCTTCGCCTTCAGTGGGTTTGTCATGCCATGCAGAAGCTCCCCTACCTACCTCCAGCAATGATTGCCGTGGCGAATGGATATTTTACTGAGAATGCCCAAAACCTGAAAAAAACAATATATAAGTCTGATTGAACCCAAAGTTGCAACTGTGACTGCCCATACTGCCATCATGTTGAAAGCATATCGGCTTCCAAGTGATTTGCTGGATCTTCTTGATGTCAACCACCGGCACTGGCTCCTTGGGGCCAAAGATCCAACGCAGTGCCAAGAGATTCCATTACGACGGGTCTGAAGGACCTTGCATCAATGGATGAAGTTTGGCTCATTGCCTGTTTCATTTTAGAGGGCTGGACACAGGGGAGGTCCTTGTTGCCAGTACCACATCCTGGTGCATGGAATGGTACAAGTGGGATGTCCTGCTCACCCAGGATGCACAAGCAAGTCCACTTCTCTTGACAAATCGACATATATCGACATGATCTACACATGTAAATAAATGGAAGATAGTTCAAAATCATTCAAACAGATGTCGAACATGTTGAAATGAAACAAGCCTTGGCTAAAAGCGCAGCCAGCTCTAGTGCGGGGTCGCGGGGGAAAACAGATTCATATGGCAAAAGCACATCATGTAATCCAGCTCTGTGCGTTCTGCACACCTGTGGCAGGTCACCGGTGGCTTCAATGTCTGACACTGTCCTGGGATCTCCTCCTCATGGATAGATCTGCATTTGGCACCTGTTTTGTCAAGCGCAGGCCCATCAAGAACTCCCAGTTTACATGGACACATGGAAATCATTATCAGATCATCTCATCTTTACCAAAGATATTGTTAGGTGCACAATGCAGGGCTTTCCTTGGTCTAGTCACAAATGGTTTGAAAAGACTGGATCTCCAATGCTGACCTTTGCCAGTGTTTCAAGCATCTCCTGCTTCTCCCTTCTTCCTCTCTCAATCTTGAAGGCCACCTCGCAACCGGTCGTGTGATGTCGCATAGCTCAGTCACCCATTCCAAAATTGACAACAGCCACCATCACAGCAGCTTATCCCGTGCTTGTTCCACAAAAGAAAAACACCATGGACGACTTGTCACGAAACACGCTTGCGATGTGCCAAGACACCTTTCTGCTCGGATCTCTGGCCATTTGCTCCTGACATGCGATATGCTGTGGGTTCCTCGCCAACAGCGCGTTGCAACGAAAAGTGGACAGCACACCTTCTTCCTGGTACGACGGAGCTCGGCCTTGCACAGAGTCTCGCTAGACAATAACAAACAGCTGTGGCTGTGATCTGATCCAAGAGTGCCTCAAAATAATCTACAATCTTCATATTATCTTCATCAATCTTTCAAAAAGGATGAACTCTAAAGACTCTAAATACTAAACACATATATAATATATAAATACATATAAATACATAGTTGTGTCGAAGTGGATCAAGTTGAATCATGTTGGATCTTGACTGGCCTCCTTTTCGCGTTTTGCTGCCTCCAACTTGAGCATTCGTGCATCACCTGGCTGGCCAAAAAGACAAGTGTAGAATCAAGGCCAACAGAGTGTGCGCAGGAAACCTTGAAGCACTAAAACATCTAAACAATCCAAGCCAAGAACGCGTAGATGAACTGATATGAGTTGATTAATCAAAATGGACGTGAATAATTTTGTCAACGGAGGAAGCTCAGCATCAGCGAAAGCAGCTTCATGGTAACAGCAGAACTTGTTTGATTCGATGGTTTGCATCAAAAGGAGACGGACATTGTGTGAAATTCTGTTGCAAATACCAACAGCAAGCATCTGGCCGGTTCATGATGTTTTGGCAAACCCAACTCAAAGATCATTGTGAGGCAAGTGTCACAGCCGCGCGACATTGGGACCCTTGGGACCCTGACTCTTCTGAAGATGATCAAAGCGGATCAGTTTTGACAAATCCTGCAATAAGAGAATGGCAGAATGGCAATAACTTCTCCCATATGATACTAGTATTACTAGTACAATACAAGCTGTCGAAAAGCAAGTGACTTTAAGTGATGCGAGTATCCACAATATCATCTCAAAGTCTACAGCACATGGCAGTCTGCAATACAATCTGATTTACAGATTCAGGTGTGACATAAGTATACGATACTATATGATACTATATGTACAGATTGCATAGTGGCTTTGTTTCATTTCCACCATCCCCGATCTAAGGCACAAGGACCGCAAGGAATCAGTCTCACGATGTCTCCCAAAGCAATAACCTTTCTATACGACATAATCAACACATATCAACACAATACAACACATATAGCTGATCATATTATCAACATTTATCAACAAGACTTAACGATGATCATCAAGGATCCACCATAACTATCTTGCTGTCTTCCTTGCGAGGCTAGGGCCCGTCCTCAATGGCATTGGTCAGGTGAGCAACCTGGTCAGCTCTCATCTCTGTGCTTTCTGAGTTCCAACATCTACAATACATCTACCATCATCTACCGCATAAAATGAATCACTCGAGATTATTTAAGTAAGTTTAAGACACGTAGTCTAAGTATATTTCGATGGCTGACAACCATTTACCAGGTGATCCAAAGATCAAATGAGCATCTGGCGTCATCAGCGAAGTTCTCTTCGTTCATAAGGTAATTCTGGGCCTCTGCATGATCAGCCCCCAAACATGTTCTAGCTTCTAGCGTCCCAAGAATTTCAACAGCGATTTGTACTTTAGAATGACAGTTGTGAAAACAGGTGAGTTTTCTTTGCCCACTGCTCAGAGCGATGGCTGGTGGGTTTGCAAACTCAAACCTAGACCTAGCGCTGTCGGAATATAAGCAACTGCAGAATCTGTAAAAATGATCAAAACATAATAAAACATAATTCAACCTCTGGACTTCACTCGAATTCTTGATCTAGACTTCTCCATATGATTGAATTCCAAGCCCACTTCAACCCACTTCAACTGCCTCTGCTTCTACTTCTGGCCTTATCTGCTTCAAGCTATGCTCAAAAGAACCGTGTGAGGCAAATTTCTGTAAACATGTTTTTTTCGATGCAGCTTCCGGTGATTTACATGTACAAAACATATCAACATGTGTGAATAATTCTTTGAAACCGTCAGCAGTCTTCTGAGCACCCAATGAGAAATGAAACATCGCTCCTTGTCATCTTGATGGATCACTTTAAATATCTTTAATCCACTTCGAGTATCTTCGAGTTATACTGAGATTGTTGAGTTATCACGTGGCTCGTTTGTTGAGATCATCCGAGGAGGCGGCCCGCATCCTGGGCCGGGCGGCGAAGTGATTCCATCAGTATCTTGTAGCACTTGCTGTCCACCAACATCATCCAACATCCATCGACATCCATCGACATCCAGCAACAAGATGCAACAAGCATCAGTATCTAGCTCTGTTCATCTCTGTTCATCTCTGTTCCATTCATTTCCCCCTGTCCCTATGCAATCTATCAAACTTCAAACCTGGGATGAGCGGTTTCCATCTTGTGGGCCTGATTGCAAACCAATGACAAGAATGTTCCGAACCGGGCCTTCATTGTCAGCCCCATAGCATGCCGAATGCAGCCGTTTTGCATACCTCTGGAACAGGAGTCTAATTGTCAAGCCGCTTTCTTTTTCAAATGTTCCAATACATCGGATTGTGTTTGAAGCGAGATATAGGAAGCACCGGTGTTTGTGCTGGCTGGGCCAAGACCCCCACTTCATCTTCAAAGAGTTCTGCAGCTTCGTTGTTGTGGCAAGCCTGACGTTCATACAAATTGAATGCGAAGCACAGATGCTAAAACATGTGGCAACACACTTGTGGCATCTTGTTTTTCTAAACATGTGGGCATCACCCAGAGTCCGACGGGACATCCTGGGACGAGAGCGCTGTGCAGGCTGTGCATGACATATCTTCAGCTCTGGGCCATCAGAGGCCACCTGAGGCCACCTACCCAACCAACTTCCAGTGGCCGACCGGCCTCAGAAATGGCACCGAAAACGTTCGCTGACAGTTCGCTGCACTCAGGTTTGACAGCACGCAATCATGAGCTCAATATACAGTGGCAAGATTGGAAAGCCGATGTGAAAGTTGGACCAACTCCTGAACCATCCCCACCCCAACTGACCTTGAGGATGGTGTCAGGCTTTAGAGACCTCAAACAGGTGTGTGGTTTCTCAACCTGACCAAATGCCTTCACGTTTGTGCCGATCGCGCACAGCAACTGGCATGCTTCTGGCAACTTTCTGACTCCAACGAGCTGGAGCAGCACGGAATGCACCACGTTATCTTGGACTTGGATGCCTTTGAATACCTTTGGATACCTTTGGTACTTTGGACCTTACCGAAGACTGAGGTTTGTACAAGTTCGGGCAACTGGAAAATCTGCCTGTCGGACATTCACGCAACGCACTTGTGAGACATTTGAAGGCTCGCAAAAATAAACGTAGCACGGTCATGCACGGTCAACCTCGACCTGCAGAAACAGTTTTGCCTGGCTCCGTTTCACTGGGAAGCTGAGATCCCAAGCTTCGCAAGTCAATGATTAGTGTATATTTGCTCGATATTCCGTAAAATTTCCACCTTCCATTAAAAAAAATTAGAACACGCCACCCAGCGTCAGCCATATCGTGCCTGATCCTTCCAAAGCTGAGCGGGTTGGCGACCTTGGAAAGCTGATTCTGATCTTTTGGCCTTCGCTGTGCCACCATGTCTTTGACAGGAGTCAGGAAATGCGATCAAACTCAGCCCTAAGTGCGCTTCACGGAACATAGGCACACAACATCCAGGTATGTAACAATAATTGTCAAATCAAAAAACAATCAGAAATAACCACCCAATATCAGGCAGTTTTCATTCCCTGATTTATGGTGAGATTCTGTGAGGTCGCTAGACATATCCAGACATGGACGGATGTCCTTTTCATCCGAGGCACAAGAGCTCAACCCGTGCCAAGGCCTGTCATGAGCAGCGCTCAAGGAATTCAAAGCTCAGGGGAAAATTAATATATCAATATCAATATATATATATATATATATTATATATATCATAATTCAACTTTGGAACATTTTGGAACTTTTCTGTTGTGGTGATAGGAGGTATGGACATGCATGGACAAACAGAGTACATAAATTACTTGCATCTTTCAAAAGTAAATCAGTTTACTTGCGCTTGAGATCTCATAATGCAAAAATGCATCAAACAGACCAGGCAGGCTTCAGGTTGTGACCGCAACCTGAGTTATGTCAACCGTTAATGGTGAACTCACTTCAAACATCTTTGCAATTTGCATGTGCTCATTTGGAAGGTGGAACAATTCGACGGAATCTAATGTCAATGTCATGCTGCTTAACCAAACCAGGTAAAGTTTTCCGCTGGACAAACATGATGTCTTCGAACGGTTCATTGATATTCATTGATAATGATCAGCATCGGAACACCACCCGTGTGCATATGAGATCATATGAGGTGGCGGCTGGCCCTGTGATCGAGGTCGGTGGGATCCCGCCATACCTTGGCATTTGGAAACACATGCTGGAGATCGCTGTAGATAAAAACAAACACCATCAAACACCACCATGTGGAGCAATCGAAAGATTCGAAAGTCCAAGCGGCAAGGCTAAGCCACATGATTCATCTTGATTCGACCATCTTCAAGCTCTTGTCCACAACTCCGCGCAGAAATTTGTGTCATTCCGAGTCAGCACTTTCCGTAGTCCCCGACTTCTATGTGTCTTTTTGCTTGCCTTTTGTTGAAAGTCTGTGAAGGCTTCCTGCCATCTCGACTGGTTCTCTTACGGTGAGACACTTGACCAAGTACGGTTACTGTGACAACCCTCCACGTGCTCTCTACCAGTGAAGCTTCTGCCGATCCATGACACAAGTGACATAAGTTGCCAAGCTAGAGAGCCACACAGCAAGGGCCGCCAGCGTTTGCAGAATCAAGATTTCTGTTTCTTCTGGGAAGAGGTTCATGAAATACAGGTGGGTTCAAAACAATATTGAAGAATTGGAGATTCATGATGATTTATACCTTTCGTATCCTTTCATGTACAAGATCTTCACCATTAATTTGCTCAAGAGAGATCGACCTATTCGGAATTTCGACTTTGTTAGCAGAGCCCACGCGCAAACTTTTTCGGCTGAAGTCCCGAGCCTGGCTGCTTTGCTGAAAGTCTAGGTCGCATTGCCGTTGCTGAAGAATGCTGAACGTGTCAAAGAATGACGGTCGAATAACGTGTACACTCCAGTGCCTAAGTTTGGAGACTCCATAAAGTAACATCTGCAAAAAATGGAAGCTGCAACGGTCACTTAATTGAGCTCCATTGTGCGCATAGAAACTAAACACACGACAATGTCAAATAATACAAAAGTCTGTTGCAACTCCTGCTGACAGTGTCTTGCCACACGATCCGCATGTGTGTCTACACCAGGTGTAAAGACCTCCTGTGTGCTGCAACCCGAAGATTTGTGAGGTGCGAGTCATATCCCTCCACCAATACAAGTATAGCCCGCTTTCTCTTTTTTTCATTTTTTCCCTACAAATACAGCACAAATAGTGCAAACTCACTTCTGTCTGCTTAGCAGATTTGCGTTTGCCACACTACCTGCATCCTTTGGAGGATTGGCGAGCAGTGACATTTGCCAGCACGAGTGAGCCAAACAGGGCTCCCGATCTTTGGTGCTGACAAACTGATCAAAACATTTGCAACGTTGCTTTTTGCTGTACAAAGGATGACACCTTTGGTCTCCTTCATCTGTGTCATGGTATCTCTATGTGCCATGTTCATGGACAAAATAGATCAAAAATGATCAAAATAGATCAAAATAGGACAAACGAATTATTCAAGGCAGACTCAGCTGTAGCGTCGTCGTTCTCTTGGAAAGGCAGGCTGGCGACCAGGGATCCATCCGTATTGATTTGGGTCAGGTTCTGTGTTGTAAAAACCAGGGCCCGGCATTCGATCCATCTCTCGCTGACGGCCAGGTCGATGCCCACTCCGACGCCTGGGAGGTGTGGCATCACCAGCCTCGCTGCAACTGCGACTGATTGGATTCTGCGCAGGTTCGTTGAGAATCGGGGCTGGTTGAACATCTGGAAGACTTCGTCTTGGTGCAGCTGTACACACCTCTCCATGGCCTCTGAGAAGGGATGGAGCCTCTGTCGCATCCTGTTGGCCCCTCGCTATGAGGAGTACGTGATCCAACCGTGGCCACATGTCTGTTGGGTCTATCGAGGCTATGTGATTTTCGCCATAGAATTGCGAGCATGGCTCTTGGCTCTCACTCCACCAGTCTGAGTTCAAACAGGGTGGTTCGCCTAAAGCCGGCACCACCACTATGCAGTTGCAAACCATCTGCTCCTGCAAATTTGGCTCCAGCAGTGGTTCTGGCTGCAAGCTGACGATGTCACAGCTTGCACCGCTTGGTCTGCTTGGAGGAGTTTGCAGAGGCGGCTGTATCTGAGTTGGCAATGGCTCTCTTAAGCGTCGAAGTCTTGGAGATCTTGGAGATCTTGGAGATCTTGGAGACATCGGCACAATTCTACAAGCTGGACGTTCAGAGCTGCCGGTGACAGAAGGGCACTGGTTGATGGAAACTGGTCTCTGCGGACTAGTCCTGCTTGGACCTGGTATGTTGATGCAAAGGTGACGTTGCGGGAGACTCTCTAAATGGGTCAGGTCGGGTAGAGGTGAAGGTTGCTGAGGTAATCTTGCAGGATGTGGTGGACAAGGAAGAGGCAATGCTGGTGGATGTTGAAGCACCTGAAAGTTCATGGCTGGGGGATGGCAATCCGGTGGATCGGGTGGATCGGGTGGATCCGGTGGTTCGGGAGGATACGGTGGATACGGTGGTTGGCACTCAGGCGCAGCCGGAACACACTCTGGTGGAAGAGGTGCAATTGTCAGAACTGTTTCAACGGTTTTTTCAGACGGCTGCAATGGTACAACAATGGCTCGTTTGAGTCTGAGATATCTGAGATACAACCATAGCAACCACGTGGTTGTGATGATGACTGCAAGCCCAACCAGTGGAAAAAGGATGTATACTGCTGTAAGATCTTCCACTGTCGTTGTTGTTGTGGTGATGGTGCTGCTGGTTGAGGTGGTCCTGGTTCCAGTGGAAGAACTGGTGGTCCTGGTGGTTCGTGTTGAAGTGGTTTGGGTTGAGCTGGAACTGGTCCTTGTACTAGAGGTTGAGCTTGATGTTGTGAGGCTGGTGGAAGTTGTGGTAATACTGCTGGTGGTGAAAGTGATGCTTGTAGAAGTTGTTGTTGTGAAAGAGATGCTGGTTGAACTTGTCCCAGTAGTGCTAGATGTGCTTATTGAGCTGGAAGTGGTGCTGAAGCTTGATGTACTTGTTGTGGACAGAGTGGTTGTTGAAGTCGAGCTGGTGGTGGTGGACATTGTCGTTGAACTGGTACTGGTCGATGTGACTGTGGTGGTAGAACTCCCTGTGCTGGAGGTCGTGCTAGTTGTGAGAGTGATGCTGGTTGTGGTTGCTGTGTGGGAAGTGGTTGTGGTCCTGGAAATTGTCGTGCTTGAGCTGATGCTGGTACTTGATGTGGTGCTGCTTGTTGTAGTGCTGCTTGTTGTAGTGCTGCTTGTTGTAGTGCTGCTCGTCGTAAGGCTCGTTGAAGTGGTTGTAGTTGTCGACCCTGTGGTGGTTGATGTAAAGCTCAGAGTGGTGGTGCTAGTCGTCGCGGTTTCGGTGTGAGAGCTTGTTGTGGTTGTTGACACTGTGGTGCTTGATGTGGTGCTTGTACTTGAGGTACTGCGTGTAGCAGTGATACTTGACGATGTTGTACTGCTGGTTGTTCTGGTACTTGACTTGCTAGTGGAGCTTGAAACCGTTGTGCTGGACGTGCTACTGCGTGTGGACGTACTACTGCTGGTGGTTAGTGTGGAGGTGCTTGAAGAGCTTCTACTTGTGCTGGAGGTGGTGCTTGTGCTGGATCTGCTGGAAGTCGTTGTAAACGTCACTGTGGAGGTGACTGTGCTGGAAGTGCTGAAGCTTGTGGTTGTAGAGCTGGATGCTGTCCGGCTTGTTGTGGTTGTTGTCACAAGGTAACACCAAAGGTCATCTTGCAAGCGTCCTTCAGAATAGCCACCATGGATACAAAGTGATGTCGTTGTGACGTCAAAAGCAGCCGCGTGGTTAAACCGAGGGGATGGGCCGTCGTCTTTGTCGGTGATGAGGTGCCATGCGTAGTTCTCCACATCAAATCTCCAAAGATCGCGACAGAAAGACCCGCCGTCAAATCCGCCGTGAATCCAAAGAGCTCTGTTGGTTGGATCCCAGCCAGCTACATGAAAAGCTCGAGCGGGTGGACCACCAACCACAATCAGATTCCAGTTGTTGCTGCTGACCGTGGTGTCATATCTCCACAGATCCTGTTGCAAACCTCCTTGTGGGTTGCCACCGCATGAACCTGGCAGGTATTCAAGCTAGGACAGCTAGGAGCTGGGCGCAGTTCATACTTCTTTTCCATATCTTTCCATTGGGGGTCCTGGAAAGTAAGGTGATAGAAGATCGCAAATCAAGTGGATCTGTATTGTGTTTTGAATCTTGCGGGGTCTGTGCCAGTACCACTTGACATCGAAAATTGAAAAGCAAATCCGCCGACCCCGGCAGACGCAAGGGGGAGCGCGCCAGGGAATAATACTTTTGACCCTGGTTTCGGACCAGTACCACTTAGGATGGCACTAATGGGTGTCAAGAACGTGGGCAAGAGCACGCAAAAGGTGTACATAGCCAGTAGCTAGCAGCCTGCGCCAGTAGCAGCCATGGGTGTCAAGAACATGGGCAAGAGCACGCAAAAGGGCAGCAGCAGCAGCAGCAGCAGTTGGCAGTTTTTTCATTTGTATGGTACCAATGGGTGTCAAGAACATGGGCAAGAGCACGCAAAAGGGCAGCAGCAGCAGCAGCAGCAGTTGTTTCTTGCTTTGGAAGCAGTTTGATTGCAGCAGCACGACAGCAGCACCACAGCAGCAGCAGCCTGCGCCAGTAGCAGCCAGCAGCCAGTAGCCAGCAGCCTACTAAAAATCTAGATTTTTCTAGGATTTCAGACGACACGTTAGGCACTTTTTTGGCGTGGTTCTGGCACTCGCTCGTCCTTCAGAGCCCTGGTGTTTTCCCCCCGGGAGGTGATTTTTTCGAAACTGTTTTACTGCTAGCAGCCGCCAGCAACAGAATCTGTCGAAAAATTGTGTTTTTCTAAGATGCCAGACGACACGTTAGGCACTTCTATATATCTTGTATATATTTCTATAGGGTTTCAGATGTCACGTTTGGCAGTTTTCTCATTTATATGGCACCAATGGCTGTCAAGAACATGGGCAAGAGCACGCAAAAGGGCAGCAGCAGCAGCAGCAGTTGTTTCTTGCTTTGGAAGCACTTTGATTGCAGCAGCACGACAGCAGCACCACAGCAGCAGCAGCCACCAGCAGCAGCACCAGGCAGCAGGCAGCAGCAGGCAGCAGCAGGCATCAGTAGGCAGCAGCAGACATAAGCAGACGCAGCAGCAGTAAGCGCAACGGCAGCAGTGCAGCAGCTAGCAGCGAGCTAGCAGCCAGCCTCGAGAAACGTATAGCAAGCTTTTTGTAGGAGATTTCAGAAGGGACGTTCCGGCCTCGGGAAACGCATATTTTGGACTCCGTTCGTCCTTCAGGGCCATGGTGTTTCCCCGTCCGGCAGGGCTGTGTCTTTGTGGGCACAGCAGCAGCAGTCGCTGTCGCCTCTCAGTAGCATGGGGTTTCCTTGCCGGAAACCGTCTTTTTGAAGGGTCAGCTGCACCAGCAGCAGCAGCAGCAGCAGCAGCAGCTCTAATAGAATTTTTCTCTAGGGTTCCAGCAGCATCAGTAGCAGTAAGAGCAACGGCAGCAGTGCAGCAGCTAGCAGCAAGCCAGCAGCTTGCTATTTGTAGGAGATTTCAGAAGGGACGTTCCGGCGTCGGGAAACGCATATTTTGGACTCCGTTCGTCCTTCAGGGCCATGGTGTTTCCCCGTCCGGCAGGGCTGTGCCTTTGTGGGCACAGCAGCAGCAGTCGCTGTCGCCTCTCAGTAGCATGGAGTTTCCTTGCCGGAAACCGCCTTTTGAAGGGTCAGCTGCACCAGCAGCAGCAGCAGCAGCAGCAGCAGCTGTAATAATTTTTTTTTCTGGGGTTCCAGCAGCATCAGTAGCAGTAAGAGCAACGGCAGCAGTGCAGCAGCTAGCAGCGAGCCAGTAGCCAGCATTGAGAAACGTACGAGAAACGTATATAGCAAGCTTTTTGTAGGAGATTTCAGAAGGGACGTTCCGGCCTCGGGAAACGCATATTTTGGACTCCGTTCGTCCTTCAGGGCCATGGTGTTTCCCCGTCCGGCAGGGCCGTGTCTTTGCGGGCACAGCAGCAGCTCCAATAGATTTTTTTTCTAGGGTTCCAGCAGCATCAGTAGCAGTAAGAGCAACGGCAGCAGTGCAGCAGCTAGCAGCGAGCCAGCAGCCAGCATCGAGAAACGTATAGCAAGCTTTTTCTAGGATAGGATTCTAGGCGTAGGAGACAAGCTTTTTTTAGGAGATTTCAGAAGGGACGTTCCGGCCTCGGGAAACGCATATTTTGGACTCCGTTCGTCCTTCAGGGCCATGGTGTTTCCCCGTCCGGCAGGGCCGTGTCTTTGTGGGCACAGCAGCAGCTCCAATAGATTTTTTTTCTAGGGTTCCAGCAGCATCAGTAGCAGTAAGAGGAATCAGTACCAGTAAGCGCAACGGCAGCAGTGCAGCAGCTAGCAGCGAGCCAGTAGCCAGCATCGAGAAACGTATAGCAAGCTTTTTCTAGGATTCTAGGAGTAGGATTCTAGGAGACATTCTAGGAGACAAGCTTTTTTTAGGAGATTTCAGAAGGGACGTTCCGGCCTCGGGAAACGCATATTTTGGACTCCGTTCGTCCTTCAGGGCCATGGTGTTTCCCCGTCCGGCAGGGCCGTGTCTTTGTGGGCACAGCAGCAGCAGCAGCAGCAGCAGTTGTTTCTTGCTTTAGAAGCTGTTTGATTGCAGCAGCACGACAGCAGCACCACAGCAGCAGCAGCCACCAGCAGCAGCACCAGCAGCAGGCAGCAGGCAGCCGCAGGCAGCAGCAGGCAGCAGCAGGCAGCAGCAGGCATCAGTAGGCAGCAGCAGACACAAGCAGACGCAGCAGCAGTAAGCGCAACGGCAGCAGTAAGCGCAACGGCAGCAGTGCAGCAGCTAGCAGCGAGCCAGCAGCCAGCCTCGAGAAACCTATAAGCTTGCTATTTGTAGGAGATTTCAGAAGGGACGTTCCGGCCTCGGGAAACGCATATTTTGGACTCCGTTCGTCCTTCAGGGCCATGGTGTTTCCCCGTCCGGCAGGGCTGTGCCTTTGTGGGCACAGCAGCAGCGACTCAGTAGCATGGGGTTTCCTTGCCGGAAACCGCCTTTTGAAGGGTCAGCTGCACCAGCAGCAGCAGCAGCAGCAGCAGCAGCAGCAGCAGCTGTAATAGATTTTTTTCTAGGGTTCCAGCAGCATCAGTAGCAGTAAGAGCAACGGCAGCAGTGCAGCAGCTAGCAGCGAGCCAGTAGCCAGCATTGAGAAACGTAGAAACGTATGAGAAACGTAAAACGTATAGCAAACTTTTTGTAGGAGATTTCAGAAGGGACGTTCCGGCCTCGGGAAACGCATATTTTTGACTCCGTTCGTCCTTCGTCAGGGCCACGGCAGGGCCGTGTCTTTGCGGGCACAGCAGCAGCTCCAATAGATTTTTTTTCTAGGGTTCCAGCAGCATCAGTAGCAGTAAGAGCAATCAGTAGCAGTAAGAGCAACGGCAGCAGTGCAGCAGCTAGCAGCGAGCCAGTAGCCAGCATCGAGAAACGTATAGCAAGCTTTTTCTAGGATTCTAGGAGTAGGATTCTAGGAGACATTCTAGGAGACAAGCTTTTTTTTTAGGAGATTTCAGAAGGGACGTTCCGGCCTTGGGAAACGCATGTTTTGGACTCCGTTCGTCCTTCAGGGCCATGGTGTTTCCCCTTCTGGCAGGGCCGTGTCTTTGTGGGCACAGCAGCAGCAGCAGCAGTTGTTTCTTGCTTTGGAGGCTGTTTGATTGCAGCAGCACGACAGCAGCACCACAGCAGCAGCAGCCACCAGCAGCAGCACCAGCAGCAGGCAGCAGGCAGCCGCAGGCAGCAGCAAGCAGCAGCAGGCATCAGTAGGCAGCAGCAGACACAAGCAGACGCAGCAGCAGTAAGCGCAACGGCAGCAGTGCAGCAGCTAGCAGCGAGCCAGCAGCGAGCCAGCAGCCAGCCTCGAGAAACGTATAGCAAGCTTTTTGTAGGAGATTTCAGAAGAGACGTTCCGGCCTCGGGAAACGCATGTTTGGGACTCCGTTCGTCCTTCAGGGCCATGGTGTTTCCCCGTCTGGCAAGGCCGTGTCTTTGTGGGCACAGCAGCAGCAGTCGCTGTCGCCTCTCATTAGCATGGGGTTTCCTTGCCGGAAGCTGCCTTTTTGAAGGGTCAGCTGCACTAGCAGCAGCAGCAGCAGCAGCAGCAGCAGCAGCTCCAATAGAATTTTTGTCTAGGGTTCCACCAGCATCAGTAGCAGTAAGAGCAACGGCAGCGAGCCAGTAGCCAGCATAGCATTGAGAAACGTACATTGAGAAACGTATAGCAAGCTTTTTGTAGGAGATTTCAGAAGGGACGTTCCGGCCTCGGGAAACGTATATTTTGGACTCCATTCGTCCTTGAGGGCCATGGTGTTTTCCCGTCCGGCAGGGCCGTGTCTTTGTGGGCACAGCAGCAGCA